CCAAAAAGTGATTGGCAAGACCTAATTAAAGGAGCTTATTACTTCCTAACTTCCTATGTTTTCTTCTAAGAGTTTTTGTTTTCAGGTCTTTTTTTTGTTTTTGTTTTTTTGTTTTGTTTTTTTTTTTTTTTTGTTTTTGTTTTCAGGTCTTATGTTTAAGTCTTTAATCCATTTTGAGTAAATTTTTGTGTATAAAAAAAAAAACATGAGTGTAGAAATATCTCTTCAAGTCCTTTCAGTTCTTTTTGGTGTATAGCTAGAAGTGGAACTATTGGATCATATGGTAATTCTCTGCTTAATTTTTTGAGGAAACATCGTACTGTTTTCCACAGTGGTGACATCATTTTAATTTCCTACCAACAATGCACAAGAATTTTAATTTCTCCACATCCTCACCAACACCACTACTTTTTTTTCTTTTTTGATAATAGCCATTCTAATGTATGGGAGACGGGATTCTGTTTGTGGTTTTAATTAGCATTATTTATCTACTGATGAGTGATGTTAACCATCTTTTCATGTGCTTATTGGTCATCTAAATATCTTCTCTAGAGAAATGTCTAAGTCTTTTGCCCATTTCTGAATTGAGCTGTTTTTGTTGCTATTGTTGAGTTTTAGTTCTCTTCTGGATATTAATCCCTCACCAGATATGTGATTTGCTAATACTTTTTCTTGGGTTGCCTTGTCATTTAGTTGATAGTGTCCTTTGATGCAGAAAAATTTTTGTAAAAAAAAAAAAAGAAAAGAAAAGTTGGGATCCCTGGGTGGCGCAGCGGTTTGGCGCCTGCCTTTGGCTCAGGGCGCGATCCTGGAGACCTGGGATCGAATCCCATATCGGGCTCCCGGTGCATGGAACCTGCTTCTCCCTCTGCCTGTGTCTCTGCCTCTCTCTCTCTCTCTCTCTCTCTCTGTGACTATCATAAATAAATAAATTAAAAAAAAATTAAAAAAGAAAAAAAAGAAAAGTTTTTGTATTTCATGAAGTCCAGGTTTTTCTTTTGTCACCTGTGCTTTTGGTAGTCTGTACAGTCCATAGCTTTTTTTCTTTTTAAAGAAAAGAGTGCCAAAACAACTCATTAGAGAAAATAGTTTTTTTAATGAATGGTGTTAGAATAGTTGGATGTCCATGTGCAAATAAATGAAGTTGGATCTCTATCTTACACTACATACAAAAATTAAGTCAAAATAGATAAAAAATCGGGGGATTCCTAGGTGGCTCAGTGGTTTAGTGCCTGCCTTCCCTTCCAACCAGGGCGTGATCCTGGAGTCTCAGGATCGAGTCCCACATTGGGCTCCCTGCATGGAGCCTGCTTCTCCCTCTGCTTGTGTCTCTGCCTCTCTCTCTCTCTCTCTCTCTCTCTCTCTCTCTCTGTCTCTCTCTCTCCCCCGCCCCCATGTCTCTCATGAATAAATAAATAAGATCTTTTTTTAAAAAAAATGGATCAAAAACTTAAATATAAGCACTAAAACCATAAAACTCTTAGAAAAATATATATGGGTAACTCTTCATGATTTGGCACTAAATTCTTAGAAATGACATCAAAAGCATAAGCAATAAAACTGAACATAGTTAAATTGGACAAGACTAAAAACTTTTGTGGATCAGAAGGCATTTTGAAGAAAGTCAAAGTGAAAGAGGGTGACTGTGTGACAGGTACTAATAAGGGCACTTGATGGGATGAGCACTGAGTGTTATACTGTATATTGGGAAATTGAATTTAAATAAAATACGAAAAGTGAAAAAACAAAATAGGAGAAAGTATATGTAAATCATAAATCTGATCAGGGTCTGGCATCCAGAATGTATCAAGACCTCTTACAACTCAACAGCAAAAAGACAGACAGCCTAATGTAAACATGGGCAAAGCACTTGAATCAACATTTTCCCAAAGAAGGTATACAAATCATCAAAAAGCATGTGAAAGGATACTCAGCATCATTAGTCATCAGGGAATGCAAATCAAAACTATGAGATACCACTTCACACCCACTTGAGTGGCTTATAATTGTAAAGACAGAGAACAAGTGTTGGCTAGGATGTGGAGAAATTGGAACCCTCATATACTGCTAGGGGAAAGTAAAATGATGGACCCACTTTGGAAAATAGTTTAGCAGTTACTCAAAAAGTTAAGCATAGAATTACCATGTAAACTAGCAATTTCACTCTAAGTTTATTTCCAGGAAAAATGAAAACATTTGTCCACACATAAAATTGTACACAAATGTTCATAGCTGCATTATTCATGATATCCCAAAAGTGAAACAAGCCTAAATATCCCTCAACTGATAAATGGATAAACAAAACGTGGAATAATCATACTATGGAAAGCTGCACAATGATAAACAGTACCGGTATGTGCTCCAATACGGATCAACCCTGAATACATTATTCTTTTTTTCTTTTAAGATTTTATTTATTTATTCATGAGAGACACACACAGAGAGAGACAGCCAGAGACACAGGCAGAGGGAGAAGCGGCCCCTTTCAGGGAGCCCGATGTGGGACTCCATCCCAGGTCTCTAGGATCACGCCCTGGGCTGAAAGCAGCGCTAAACCGCTGAGCCACCTGGGCTGCCCTTGAATGCATTATTCTAATTGAAAAGCCAGATACAAAAGGTCCTGTGTTTTATGTTTCCATTTATATGAAATGACCAGAATAGGCAAATCTGTAGTGATGGAAAGGTAGACAAGTGATTGCCGAAGTCTAGGGGAATAGGGAAACCGGGAATGATTGCCAGTGAGTATGGGGTTTTATTTTTGAGTGGTGAAGTACTGGAATTAGTGGTGGTTGTGCAATTTTGTGAATAGGCTAAAAACCATTGGATAGTTCACTTTAAAGGGTAAATTTGATATGGAACGTGAATTAGATCTCAATAAAGAACAAAACTAGGTTCAGGGTGCTCTATCATGCTCTTTCTTGGTCTTCAGTACAGAAGGCCGTTTTAGCAAGATTTTGGACTTCCTAATAAATAAATCTTTAAAAAAATAAATCTTAAAAAAAAGATTTTGGATTTCCTGTCAGCTATTTTTTGTGCCTCTTTTGAATACTCTCAAACTCATGGCAAAATGTGTCTGATTAGGCTGAGGTGTGCCTACAACATTCAAGGTGAAAACAAAAAAAAATTCACCTCCCACATCTGCTCTTAGCCTGCTTTTATGTGGTGTGCTGGTCTCTGACTTTAGTAAATGTTTCATGAATAAGAGCTTCCACAGTCAGACAAATTTGGAAAATGTAATTAAACATATTTCTTAACTTGGAGCCGGTGTGTAGTGCTGGGTGAATCCTGCCTCCCCCACATGCTCAAAATATTTTTGGTGGAACATGCTCCTTGAAATTGCTATGGGAATTAAGTCAATATTTTGAAATCTTAGTCTGAATTATTGTTTGTGTTAATACCATTCAATTTACTTAATAGACACTAAATCATCTTTGACTTTGATCTTTATATTTTTACAAGTGTGCTTCCACCCTTCCTAATTTATCAGATTCTTGAAGTGTGGTCCAGAGAACCCTGGGGCTTCTGAGATTTTCTCAAGTGGTCCACTAGGTCAGAACTATTTATTTTTGCTCTTTTATGACTATGCAATGAAGTTTTCCAGAAGCTCTATGAAGTATGATATTTCAATAGGTTGAATGCTAAAGCAGAAAATTTATTGAAGAAATTTATAAAAATGTAAAACACTATTCTCAGTAAATTTGTTTTAAAAACTGTAGTTATATTTCATCAAATTACATTGTTTATGTTAACATTAATGGGTTTATTTGTTTTTAAAATGAATTCACATAATACTTAAAAAAACCTGAATCTATTTTAAATTTCTAACTTGATAAACAATTGACAAATGTAATTCCAATAAAGAATAGCTCTTGGATTTTTTTTTAAAGATTTATTTATTCATGAGAGACACACAGAGAGAGAAAGAGGCAGAGACACAGGGAGAGGGAGAAGCAGGCTCCATGTAGGGAGCCTGATGTGGAACTCGATTCCGGGACTCCAGGATCACGCCCTGAGCCGAAGGCAGAAGCTTAACGGCTGAGCCACCCAGGCATCCTGCTCTTGGAGTTTAAAACACATTCATCAAGATAATTAATGTGAGCTGTTTGTAAAGTTTAATGCACTAAAGCCAGGTTAATGGAACAGTTGCCTATCCAAACCATTCTGGGATGGTTTCGAGTCAGGTGAAGAAGTTGGGACTTTGTTCCTTTCTTTCTGGTTTTTAACATTCCATACCTGTTTCACAAAATTGTGTGAATGCAGTTGGAATGCCACAGGAAAAGTCCTTTTAGGTTTTGGTTTAAAAAGATGTTACATGGGAGTTCCATCGAAGATGGCAGAGCAAGAGGACCCTAAGCTCACTTCGTGCCACAGACGCACTTAGCTGACTTGCACAGCAGTGTGAGTGACCCAGAAAGTGACCCGAAGCCAAGCACAACGGGCGTTCCACAGCTAAATGTCGAGAAGAGGCAAATAATAAATATAGCCAGTTAAAGCACTGGTTTCATTTTTAGGATACATATTGTAATCTGTTCACCATACATAGGTTAATAACCTGGCTATAAGTATCTTTGGCTGTTAAACCATGCCTCGTTTTGATTATTGATTCTTATGTAGTTTGGCAGCTTTTGGAATACCTGGAAACTTTCATGCATTGATAAAATGTCAGATTTTAATATTAGGTTTTCTTTTTTTTTTTTTTTAATTTTATTTATTTATGATAGTCACAGAGAGAGAGGCGCAGAGACACAGGCAGAGGGAGAAGCAGGCTCCATGCACCGGGAGCCCGATGTGGGATTCGATCCCGGGTCTCCAGGATCGCGCCCTGGGCCAAAGGCAGGCGCCAAACCGCTGCGCCACCCGGGGATCCCAATATTAGGTTTTCAAGTCTAAAAGCGGATTCTAATCTTGGATTGATGTAAACTGACACTCAGTATCTTTTTACCTTTGTGTGAGGAAGATATTAAGTAATATTAAAATGTTGCCCCTCTTTTTATTCACAGCTAGGGTTGGACTTGGAAGAACTGGAGGAAATAGAAGAGGACGCTGGCCTTGGGAATGGAGGCCTGGGGAGGCTGGCAGGTAACCCCGCCATCTGGCTAGGGCATGGCCTCTCCTGATGTGGTGCCCTGGTTGCTGATCACATGGTGAGGCCAAGCTCAGCTGCATCCCAACAGCGGTTTGTTGGGGTAGATTGGCCCCTCTGACTGGATGGGAGTGTGTGTCATACGGGTTGAATAAAATACAAAACATTGTTTTCTCACATAAGGATGCCTCCTAATTATCATGAAGGCCAGGCTTGCCAGTGTTGGGTAGCTGGCACTGGGAGGGGTTTCCTATATACCGACCACTTTCCACAGCCAGTAATTGGGAGAAAGATGGATAGACACACACATGCACGCACATAGGCACACAGTATACATACACGCACACAAACACACATGCACACATCTACACACATACACATGTGTACACACACACATGATTTATGAGTGCAGCCCAACTGGCAGGCTCTTCCTGCTTTACTATGGTAAATGGATTGCCCCAAAATAGCAGTTGTTCCTTTTGGGATATTGTTTCCTTGGGCCATTCTGTTTGAGAACATATCCAATTTTGTTTTGTTTTTTTTCTGTTTGAGTTATTTTTGCTAGCCTTTTAGGGCAAAGGGAGCTGAGTGAAGGACTTAGAAGTGGAGGACTGCCTGGTGGGCTCAATTGGAAGAACATGTGACTCTCATGGTCGTGGGTTTGAGCCCTATATTGGGTATAGAAATTACTAAAAAATAAATAAACTTTAAAAAACCCCAAGAATTTAGAAGTGAAAATTGGTTTTGCTGTGTGCTTCAAGGCTCTTGGGCATAGTGTTTCTATAACAGAAATAAGTCAAGTTTTATGTTGCTGTTGTGTGGAGGGCATGGGAGGGTGGACTCAGGCACCTGTCACTGCATTATTGCCCCTTTGGGGAGTTACCATTTTGTAAAAGAGGGACAAGATGCCCTAAAATTTATCTGAGTGTGTGTATGTGTTTATGTTTTCAAATCTTAAGTTAAATTCTTCAGAAATTATAGAAGCAGAATATGTTTCTTCCAAACAAAACAACAAAACAACATTTGGTTCTATATAAGGAAACAATGGCAAGGCCTGTCCCACCTCCTCCTCTTCATGTGAGAAGCCTGTGTGTCCCCTACATCTGCTCTCAAATGCAGGGATCTCTTTTAGTTTATGATGTGAGATCATCCCAGAGAGGAAGCTGAACCTACCCACAGATGGAATCGTGTGCCTCACTGATGGGCAGTATGCCCCCAGGGTGCAGCAAGGCCTTATGGCATCAGTCCCTGCAGCCCCCTTCACCCTTGATGGCCTTATGCTGCTCATAGCCATCTTCCCAGTCAGTAAAAACCAAGCTCAGGGGGAGGTTCTAGACCCCTTGATCCCCTTCACAGCTCAGGGTTGCTACCTAACCTCTCCTCCTATTCTGAGGCTGGTGACTGTTGGCCAGGGCAGTCCCATCCTTGGCCTTCCATCAGGGCTTCAGGGTGTCTGCAGGCCACAGTCAGCTTCCTGTCAACTTCCTAGTCACCTTCCTGTCAACTTCCTAGTCACCTTTCCTGCTACTTATGTGATGCCACAGGTCTCGCCTATGAATGGGTGTGACCTCCTCTGGGGCCCTCTATTTCCGTGGACTCTTCTTACCCTGTGGATGTGGGTAGCCCCTAGCCCACTGTAACTTGATATGTCCTGTGTCCCTCCTGCAAGAATGATTTCTTCGAAACAGGAGCCCAGATCTTACATTTGTGGATATTTTTATTCCTTCCCCTTAACACAAGGTTGATAACAGGGATCTGGGCATGTTTGCTCAATTGAGGAAGTATTTTATTTACTGGTATTTCTTGTAGACTTTTTTTCTTTTTAATCTAGAAGTTTAATAAGGCTGCCTTTTTTTTTTTTAAGATTTTATTTATTTATTCATGAGAGACACACAGAGAGAGGCAGAGACCTAGGCAGAGGGAGAAGCAAGCTCCCTGCAGGGAGCCCGATGTGGGACTGGATCCCAGGACCCCGGGATGATGCCCTGAGCCAAACCACTCAGTGCTCAACCACTGAGCCACCCAGTCCCAAAAAGGCTGCCTCCTGGATCTTTATTTTTTTTATTTTTATTTTTTTATTTTTATTTTTATTTTTTTTATTTTTTTATTTAAAGATTTTTATTTATTTATGAGAAACAGAGAGCACGGAAGAGACATAGGCAAAAGGAGAAGCAGGCTCCATACAAGGAACCCGACTTGGGACTTGATCCTGGTACTCCAAAGGCAAGCACTCAACCGCTGAGCCACCCAGGCTTCCTCTCCTGGATCTTTATTAAAAACATTTTTTTTTTCAGGGCGCCTAGGTGGCTCAGTCAGTTAAGCATCTGACTCTTTTTTTTTTTTTTTTTAAAAGATTCTATTTATTTATTTGGCAGAGAGAGCACAAGCTGGGGGAGTGGCAGAGGGAGAGGGAGCAGCAGGCTTTCCACTGAGCAGGGAGCCTGATGTGGGGCTTGATCCCTGGACCTCAGGATCATGACCTGAGCCGAAGGCAGACACTTAACCCACTGAGCCATCTAGGTGCCTTGCATCCTACTCTAGATTTCAGCTCAGATCATGATCTCAGGATCATGGGATCAAGCCCCGCGTTGGGCTCTGTGCTCAGAGCAGAGTCTGCTTTAAGACTGTCTCTCCATCTCTATCCGCCTCTCCTCACTCTCTCTCACCGTCTCAGATAAATAAATATTTAAAACATTGGTTTTTTTTAAGGCATTTTGATTGGAATAAAGGTTCCTTATGGTGACATGCTGCTCCAGCCACCTTCCTGCTGGCCTTGGGGACTTTGGCTCTTAGGTATTTGAGTCCTTATAGATGGCAAAATGTCCATAGCCAGCCCCATTCCTGTGCCTTCTTTCTTAGTGTGTAGTTATTTTGTGGTGTTACCTTACTGTCCAAACAGCTTGGATTTTAAGTGGAATATGCAGGGGTGGGGAAGCCTTCAGCCTTCATGAGGCTGAGACAAAGCAAACAGTGAGAGGACTTTGCATTCAGGGTTAGATGAGGCTCTCTGTGGGTACCTCACTTCTGCCCTTGTCCTCTCCCCCCGCCCCAACGGGATTGCCATCTGGTGCCGTCTGGTGCCCAGAGGCTGGATCCAAGTGCTTACTTCACGTGGGTATCTAGGCTTTGCTTCCAGTGGGCCTCAAAGCTGAATGTCTTTGAACCCAAGAAGTGCTTTGTGTTTGGAATTTTCAGCCTGCTTCCTTGACTCGATGGCCACTTTGGGCCTGGCAGCCTATGGCTATGGAATCCGCTATGAGTTTGGGATTTTTAACCAGAAGATTGTCAATGGCTGGCAGGTAAGTGAGTCTTCATTTCTTCCCTTGTTTCCAGCTCTCTTGCATACAAGAAAACACTTTCAGTTCAGCTTTTTATATGTTAAAGTCTTTCTTGGAGAGATTGTCTGCCAGTCCTGGGCACAGGTCAGGGCTATCCTGCTCCGTGCATCCCTCAGAGTTCTTCATGGGCTGTCGGAGGCTGGTCTCCTGTGTGAGCTCAGTGCACATAACTTCTACGTGAGCCTGGGAGGCCTCCTGGGTAGGATTCAGGGCCTGGCTGGTCTCACAGAAGCACCAGGGTTTGAGGACTGTGTTCTGGTTCCCACAGTGTGGAGCAAAGGGTGGCCCTCCCTGGTTCACCCTCCATGGGACGACTGATCCAAAGTAGTTAGAGAAACAGTTATTGTAGGCTTTGTTCCTACCTCCTGCCTTCACTCCCTGACGCCAGTGACAGGACAGCATCCTGGGGGTTATAGGCCAGACTGCAAAAGCAAAGTAGTTCTGAGGAAGAATGGCTTGGATTCTGAAGCATCAGACCACAGATAAGTGAGGTGGCTAAGACTGCGTCAGTGGAAAGATTGAAACCTGAGTGCAGCCTCATTGCCCTCATTCAGGACTTCAAAATGGAAGGCACTTGATTGGAGAATAGTTTACGTAATATATAATTTGGGGCCTAATAGTGACATATAAGGCAGGGCTGTGGTTGGGATTAGAAGGTTTGTAACAGAACATGAACAGATGGATGCCTAGGGTGATGGCAAGCTCCTGGATCATGTTGGGGCCTGAGTCACAGGCATGTGCAATTGCCAGAACTCCTCAAGAGTGAGTATTCTTCAGGTTTATACAGTTTGTTGTATATATATTGACCTAAAAATAATAATACAGGATGAACTGAACTTAATGATGTGCATGCTGAACTGTTCGTGGAGAAGTGCACAGATATCTGCAACTGACTTTGAAATGCGTCAAGAAATAAATGAGTTGATGGTTGTGTGATAAATCAAGTATAACAACATGTTAACAATTATGGATCCTAAGTGGAAGGTGCACAAGTGTTCGCTGCCAATTCTTTTAACACTTCTGTATGTTTGAAAACACTCATAATAAAAAGTTGACAAATATGGCTAACAGAGAAAACTTAAAACAGATTTGTATCTCTTGCTTAATTTGTAGATCTACTCTCTCCAACCTTAAAGAGAACTTCACTTTTCCTCCTGGTACATTCTGTATAATTTAATGCACAGTTTCTTATGTGTGTGTGTGTGTCTATCAGAGGTACCCCAGCCCTTTGTACACCTACCTGTGCTTTGACCCATTCAAGCTCTTTACAGTTGGTGCAATGTGTATTCTTTAGACAGAAACTCTGAGGCCCATCCTTTCTTATTTGATGTTATGGTTATAGGTAGGAAGGTTTTTTTGTGTGTTGTCTTTTGCTTGCAGACATTTCTTTCTTCTGGTGTTCTCATTCCTGTACCTCTTATCATCTTGCATAACAGCTTAAAGACAGTTGTGGGATGATAGATGAGTTATAAACTCACCCTCCTCCCACCCAGGTCTCATGGGAGCTGGTCAGTTGTTTTTTTTTTTTTTTTTTTAAGATTTTATTTATTTATGCATGAGAGACATAGAAAGAGAGAGAGAGAGGCAGAAACACAGGCAGAGGGAGAAGCAGGCTCCATGCAGGGAGCCCAACCTGGGACTCGATCCTGGGATTTCCAAGATCCCACCCTGGACCTAAAGCAGCGCTAAACTGCTGAGCCACCGGGGCTGCCTTAGCTGGTCAGTTTTTAATTGAGTTTAGCTACAGCAGAATTAAATTTGGGCAGTGGTCAGACAGCAGTGTTGTTTGTCAGGGGGGCAGAGATGGGGGTCCAGAGAGAAGACCCCACCACCACCTTTTATATTTGAGGAGATGCTGCTTCTGCAAACAACTCATGGAATTACTCTGCAGGAAATGGCCATGCTTTGTGTTGGAGAATCACACTAGTGTACAAGGACGTGGTGCCAGATCAGAAGACACAGGGGTGGTCCCGTGATGAATAGCTGCCTGCACCAGGCAGAAAAGCCCAGCCAGGAGTATGATAGACATATGTGGAAGCAATAACCTCAGCCACGTCACAAACTACAACCAAATATTTTTTTCTAAAGATATATGCATTATTTATTCATGAGAGACATAGACTGAGAGAGAGAGGCAGAGACATAGGCAGAGGGAGAAGCAGGCTCCTCGCAGGGAGCCCAATACGGAACTCGATCGCGGATCCCGGGATCACGACCTGAGCCGAAGGCGGGCGCCCAACCGCTGAGCCACCCAGGTGTCCCCAAATATTCTTCTTGACTTTTTACTTCTGTGTAAGAACCATTAAAAAAAAAAAAACAGGGTGGTTTTGTTTTGTTTTGTTTTGTTTTAAACCAAACCAGGATGCCTGGCTGGCTTAGTCTCAGAGCATGCAACTCTTGATCTTAGGATCATGAGTTCAAACCCTGCATTGGGCATAGGGCTTACTATAAAATAAATAAATAAATAAATAAATAAATAAATAAATAAATAAATAAATAAATAAATAAATAAAAATATTTAAAAAAGAAAACTGTCAAAGTAACATACAGGCACACCTTGTTCTATTGCCCTTCAATTTATTATGCTTCACACATAACCGCTTTTTACAAATTAAAAGATTGTGGCAACTCTACATCAAGCAAGTCTGTTAATCCCATAATTCCAACAGCATTTGCTCACTTTATGTCTCTTTCATGTTTTGGTAGTTCTCACAACATTGCAAACTTTATTGTTACATTATTCTGATGATCTGTGATTGGTGATTACAACTTGCTGAAAGCTCAGATGATGGTTAGCATTTTTTAGCAGTATTTCTTAATTAAGGTATGTGGATTGTTTTTTAGGACCTAATGCTATTGCACACTTAATAGACTACGGTGTAGTGTAAACATAGCTTTCATATGCATTGGGAAACCAAAAAATTCATTTGACTCTCTTTATTGCTGTATTCACTTTATTATTGTGGTGGTTTGGAGCCAAACCTGCAGTATCTTCAAGGTATGCCTGTATATAAGGTTGCTTGTTAAATTTGAAAAAGAAAGGGGCACCTGGGTGGCTCAGTCATTTAGTGTCTGACTCTTGGTTTTGCTTTGGCTAAGGTCATGATCTCAGGGTTGTGAGATTGAGCCCCATGGTGGGTTCCACTGTGTACCCAGAGTCTGCTTAGGATTCTCTTCCCTCTGCCCCTTCCCCAAATGTTTGTGTGCACTTTCTTTCCCTCTCTAAAATAAATAAATCTTTCTTAAAATTTTGAAGAAGAAAGACTCTTGTTTAAATTTTAATTTATAATTCTTTATTCACTGCTTACCAAATTTCTTTATTCCATTGCAACCCCACCAAATTCTTCTACTCAAGGATGGTTAGAGTCCATGGGGCTACTTTTAGCTTTATTTGCGAGGTTCTTTTTTGTGTATTTACTGATTTTGGATGCTACTGGGTGCAGGCTTTGAAAAATAAAGTACTTTAAGGAAGGCCTAGCAGAAAAGCAGTGTCTTCCAGTGATGTATCCTGGCATTCCTGCTGCATAGGCAGCCTTGCCCCTAGTGCCCACTCATTTGTGGTGTCCTTCTCCAAGCAGTAGGGTACCAGCGATTCTTTTTGTTTTTTTGTTTTTGTTTTTGTTTTTAATAACAGCTTTATTGAGATATGAAGTGGCTTTTAATATATTTACAAAGTTGGGCATCTGTCACCACTGTCTATTTCCAGAACATTTTCTTTTTTTTTTTTCTTTTTCTTTTTTTAAAGATTTTACTTATTTGACAGAGCGCACAAGCAGGGGGAGCAGCAGAGGGAGAGAGAGAAGCAGGGAGCCTGATGTGGGGCTCGATCCCAGGGACCCTGGGGTCTTGACCTGAGCCAAAGGCCGTCCTTCATAGACTGAGCCACCCAGGTACCCCTCCAAAACATTTCTCAAAAAGAAATCTAGCGTGGATTTGCAGGCACACCCTAGCGCCTGACAACCATTAATCTACCTGCTGTCTCTATGCATTTGGCTGTCCTAGACATTTCCTGTGAATGGAACCATACACTATGGGGGCATCTTTGACTCAACATGTATGCAAGTTTCACCCATGTTGCAGTACACAGCAGGGCTTCATTCCTTTTTATTGTCAAATTCGGGTGATTCTTTTTTTTTTTTTTTAATTTTTATTTATTTATGATAGTCACAGAGAGAGAGAGAGAGGCAGAGACATAGGCAGAGGGAGAAGCAGGCTCCATGCACTGGGAGCCCGACGTGGGATTCGATCCCGGGTCTCCAGGATCGCGCCCTGGGCCAAAGGCAGGCGCTAAACCGCTGCGCCACCCAGGGATCCCAATTCGGGTGATTCTTAATGTCTTTGTACTTTAAAGCATTTTTCTGACTTTTATCTAAGTTAGTTTCTTTAATAATCCAACATGTTAATTTGTGAACATGAGGCCTTGACTAGAACTGGAAATCTTTGCCTTGTAGATAGGCTGTAGTTTATTTCCATGTCAGGCAGCATCGTCTCAACAGTTTGGTCAGTGTGGGCTGAGGATGGGGGCAGCCCGGCACCCAGGACTGTCTCCCCCTGCTGCCTTGCAAGAGCTCCCCTCACTGCTGGCCCCTTTGCAGGTGGAGGAGGCAGATGATTGGCTGCGCTATGGCAACCCCTGGGAGAAGGCACGGCCGGAGTACATGCTTCCTGTGCACTTCTACGGGAGAGTGGAGCACACCCCCGAGGGTGTCAGGTGGCTAGACACGCAGGTATCCACCCTGGGCATCCCTGGGGCGGTGTGGGGCTAAGTGAGGTGACTGCCATGTTTCATTGTCACACCGGGTTCCCTTTAAGAGTGGGAGGTGTGCTCTTTCCCCAGAGAACCTGACTCAAGGTAAAAGCCTGGGAGGTTTTGTCCTCATACTCCCGATTCTTAAGCATTGCCAGGAGCTTCCCAGTGAGAAAGGCTCCGTGTGAAGCCACGGTCTTTGTATTTTAAGAGACTTGTTTTGGAGTTGAGACCAGCAGTTGTTAAATGGCCAGCAGGACAGTGTTGTGACAGGGGCAGGGCACTGATTCCCTGGGGGACATGGCTGGCCCCCCAGCATCTCCAGAGAGCAAGCACTTGATAAGTGTGCTGACCTCCCACCACAGGCCATAATAGTGTCTCCAGGGTTAAAGCCCTGGGCAGTGTGGGTGAGCAGGGTGGATGTCCCAAAACGGGGCACAGGCACTGCCAAGGGGCCCAGGGCAAGAGCATGGAGAGTCCAGTCCAGGCTCTAGGATGGCAGGTAGTTCACATCTGGGTGGTCTTAGGGGTCTAAGGGAGGTCGCTGGAGAGCCTTCATGAGGCAGGTAGCTGTAATGAACAGTTCAGTTGTCTAGATGTGAGGAGGTGAGCCTGGGAGACCAGGGAAGTCCCAGGCAGGCAAAAGTGAATCATCTAGATTTTCTGCAGCATAAGTTTTAAACAGAGTGCATAGGCTAAAGCTGTCCAGAACCATATTATGTAGGCCTAACATGCCATGATAACTTGTATTTAATTTGAAAGACCAGAGAAGGGGTCAGTTATCCCAGAGCATGTGCTTGTAGAAGACGAGCATATCAGTGTACATAGGGAGGTGTAGAGACCATTGGGGTACTTCAGAAAGAGTATGGCGGAGGCCTTCACCTGGAGGGCTTTTGGCCTTGGAGAGTGAAAGAGAGGTGGTTAGGGATGCTTTGCAGGGCTTGTCACTGGCTTGGACAAGGCTGTGGGGAGCCAAGGACGGGAAGGGAAAGGTAATACTGAGGCTCTAGTGATGCTATCATGCAGTTCTTTTGGCTGTCAGAGTGGATTTCATCTCACAAAGCCACATAGTTGAACCCATATGAGCCCCCACGAGTGTGAGAAGCCCCATCGAGTTGTCTGAGGGTTGGAAGTGACCTTGAGGCTTGTACGTGTCTTCCTGTGCTTGGTAAGAGGAAAGCAGATACTTGTGGACAGAGGGGAGGCAGGAGGGGCCAAGGCAGGCTCTGTGGGTGGAGAGTAAGCTCTTCCTTTTCTGTTGTAAGTGCAGTGTGTGCTGGTTTGGTTTCTCTGAGGGTTAGAAGTCAAGGCCTCCAACAGTAGGAGCCTTATGCAGATGTTGAGAAATGGAGTCAGGAATAGAAGCCGTCTGTGGAGAAGTTGGTTGAGTCCTAAAATTACAAGCAGGGCCTAGCAAGAGGAGGCTGGTGTGGAGAGCAGAGGACAGGGCCCAGGAGGTGCGGCTACTGACAGGGCCTGAATAAGGCTGACACAGTGGCTCCTTAAGCAGCTAAGGGGAAAGAATTCTTAAATCAGTGCCAGTGTTGAAGGAGGTGAGTCGGAGAAGACCCATGCGACCTCACGAGTGTGGTTAGGGCCCTTCCCCCGGGGCCTGGGATGCTGATGGGCTGGGCCATGGCTGATACAGGTGAGTTGCAGGGCTTTGGGGCAGTGGGAGAAGAGCCAGAGTGTGGGTAGGTGGGCCATCGGCAGGGAGCAAAGCGCCACTGGGGGGTGAGGAAGCTGGGGACCAAGGACTGTGGACCAGAGACTGTGTCTCTGGCTGACCGGACTGCCCCTCTTTCCTTGGCCAGGTGGTGCTGGCCATGCCCTACGACACCCCAGTGCCGGGTTACAGGAACAACACCGTCAACACCATGAGGCTGTGGTCTGCCAAGGCGCCCAACGACTTTAAGCTCCATGACTGTGTGTTCTTCCCCTCTTGCTCTCTTTCGCGTGGCTTCTCCCAAACCTGCCCTGTGCAGCTTTTGTCCTGTCTGCACTGTCACTGCTGTGGAGATCATGAGGCTCCCGCAGCAGAGGGTGGAGGGTGGAGGGTGGGCTCCTCAGGGAGGGCCCATAGGCATGGCCAGCGCTCGTGGGACCTGGGCCTTCAGGAAAGAACAAGGGGTCTGGAGTCCCACAGGGTATATGAGGGCGCAGTGGAACCGTGGCTCTGCTACACCTCCTGCTCGGGGATGCCCCTCACACAGCTCAGGGGAGGGAGGGAGAAACTGTAGGCACAGGGATCACTGGGAGCCAGAAGGTAGCACCTGGGTCCTGATCTCATCGTCTTGCTCATAGTTAACGTGGGTGGCTACATCGAGGCGGTCCTGGACAGGAACCTGGCTGAGAACATCTCCAGAGTCCTGTATCCAAATGATAACGTGAGTAGCTCATGAGGTTGGTTCTCATCTGCTAGGGAAGTGTGCTGGGGGGACTGGGGCTCTCTAGAAGGGCCACATTTATCAGCTGAGACCACATAAGTGGCCACCAGCAGCCCTCGAGTGGCTCTGTGGAGTGAGGGCAGCACCGCATGCTTGATGAAGCCTCGTAAGTCCAGGTGTGCCTGTTAGCATCTCCCCTTAGCCCTCTCCCTAAGGGGCTGCCTCGGGGGGGTCTTGGCCTCTTCTCACGGCCCTATATGCAGCCACACCTGAGAGCTGGTCTCAGCTGACTCCATACGAGGCCACGTGCAGGGTGACATGTGGGGAATGTGAGCTCATCAGACCTCACATGCGGCTGGTTTCTGCTGTCTGGGCACCTGAGGCCACTTCCCCAAGAGTTGGGTGATCCATATCTCAAGTGGAGACAGCAGTCCCTATTTTTCAGTGATGCCCCGAGACATACACCAGTCATATGGTTTGAAAAGCTTTTAGTATGTGTCACTACCCACTAGATGAAGTCACAACCGCAAGCTCCATTGCCACCAAATTCAGTGTCTGCTGGCTTTGTTGTTGCCAGACAAGAGCCCTGGAATTTGCCTTAGTGGGTTGTGTGTTTTCTATTTAATCAGAGTAATATGAACATAATAGTCGCAAAGTGCATTGGTGGTAAAAGCTTACGACCAAACGTACCCCATCCTCCCCTCCTCCACCAAGATTTCAAAGGAGATTCAAAAGCTTCTGGTGCAAGACCTCTTAATAATACTGACTCTTTGGAGCTTGTGCTTCTGAGTGGCCCTGGCTATTGAGGATTGAGACCTGCCTGCCTGGTGTGCTCACACAGCGCAGAGTGACCCTTTGTTGGCTGCCTCCCTGTCTGAAGATCACATGTAGGTTAGGCCATCGTGACCTTCTGTCTGTGCCCCTGAGCTGCAGGGTACCTGACTTTGGGCGTGGGATGATGTGGATGGAGGTGTCAGCACCATGCAGCACTCAAGGGCTTCTCCTCATGCACACATGCATCTCTGCAGTCCCTGGAGCAGGATTCCTCAACCTAGTGCCCTTCCTGGGTCTTCAGAGGGCCCTTGAGGGCCTCTGGTGGCCCGCTGACTATTGTTGGTGTCAGCGCTGTCCCATTTCCACAGTTCTTCGAGGGGAAGGAGCTCCGCCTGAAGCAGGAGTACTTTGTGGTGGCTGCTACCCTTCAGGATATCATTCGCCGCTTTAAGTCCTCCAAGTTCGGCTGCCGGGACCCAGTGAGAACCTGTTTTGAGACATTCCCGGACAAGGTTGGTTTGGTGATGGGTCTTGAACCCAGTACGGAAGGACAGGCTGTTCCTATGCTCAATTTCTTCCTCAAGGCTGGGACTTAGGTAGGCAGGGGATGCACAGGACAGCAGCCCCCCTTATCCTGGTCTCCTTGTTGTCAGGCCTGGGCCCCTCCTCCCTGACCAGGGCCATACAAGGCACCTTTAGGAGCAGCCAGGGATACTGTAAAAGGCTCCCGCTGGCAAAGCATGATGCATTTGGCAGGCTGGGCTCAGTGATTTTAAACAAAGCCTAGGTGAGAGGAACATTCTGGGTCATGGAGAGCTGTGGGGAGCATGAGGAGGGCCTTGGGGGTGGGCTGAAGGTCTTGTTGCAGGCCTGCCCTTGGGGTCTTTCTGGTCCTTCCCTGTAGCCTCTCTGGCCCTGTTGCACTCCGTGCTTCTTGGCTGGTTGTCGTGCTGGATTCAGTACCTGTGCCATGGTTTCATCTCCCTGTTGTTGGCCCTATAGACCAGGCTCCTCAGGGGTGGGCGGCTGCTGACCACTGTGGCCACCCATGCAGGCAAGGGGATTGAGGAGGACTGCCCTATTACACTGCAGGTTGCCATCCAGCTGAACGACACGCACCCAGCCCTTGCCATCCCGGAGCTTATGAGGATACTGGTGGATGTGGAGAAAGTGGACTGGGACAAGGTGAGCACTGAAGACAAGGCTGGGACCATGGGGTGAAGGTGTCCCCACAATGATGGGCGTATGTGATGACACTCTCCCTGCCAGAGCTGGACATAGGGAGTGATGGTATTCCTCACGGACCTGGGCACAACATGGGTGACAATGTCCACCCACTAGACCTGGGCACATGGGGTGACGGTGTCCCCTTCACCTTTGATCCTGTCCCAATATAGTGGTGAGTACTGAGCTGGCTCTAGGATAATGAGGAAGGCCTTTCCTGTGTGGCCTGGGGAGAAAGGGACATTTTCCCTGAGAAGATGGGGCTCCAGTGGACCAGGACATAGTACGTGGGGCATGGTGCAAAGGCACAGAAGAGCAGTTTTCTGGAAGACAGAAAAGGATTCTGACACTTCCTAGAGCTTCTCAGCTTTGTGCAGTGGCAGTATTGTAGCCAATGAGGTTTATCTGAGGCACGATTATTGCTAATTGAAAACTTCTTAGAGCTTCTCACATACATTTTCTCATCTTAGAATTGTGGCAAAACCTCCAGAAGTATTAAGTGTAAATAAACATGTTGTTTACATTTTTATAAGTGCATTCTCCTGACTTATTTGGTCCTAGATACTAGTGTAGCAACATTTTCTTGATGTAGTGTAAACCAACCTGTAGAACTGTGAAACAAGTTTCATGTCATTTTGTAGAATTCAGAGTCCCTCTCTGGTTTGGGGTGCACTTCCAAGGGGTGCTGGGCAGCCCTACCATGGTCCTGTCCGCTCCTGGACAGTGAAGGGGCATTACAGTTTCCCAGTGTTCTTGGACTGGGTGTGAGATCAGTTTGGTGGGAATAAAGTAGAAAACTGTTTGGTGCTCAATAAAAAATGGTTTATAGAAGAAAGTGAATGATGCCAGGTGGTGAGGTAAGTGTTACTCATTTATGTGTGTGCTCTGTCAGGAAATAGAGCATACGTAGTCATGTCAGGAATGCGAAAGGCATGGGGCTCACTTGTAGGCTTCGAGAAGGTTCTAGACAGGCCCCCGAGGACAGAGACATGCAGCTGGCTGGGCCCCTTTCTGGTGGGATCTGAACATCTCCCTTTGATCCTGGACTTGCCCCTTGCCTAGGCAGCTGGTAGAAAAACTGTTTCTAAAGAAAACACGTTGGAATGTTCTGGAATGTTGTAGGCCTGGGAGATCACAAAGAAGACCTGTGCATACACCAACCACACTGTGTTACCTGAGGCCTTGGAGCGCTGGCCTGTGTCCATGTTTGAGAACCTCCTGCCACGGCACCTGGAGATCATCTATGCCATCAACCAGAGACATCTGGATGTGAGCATCAAGGGTGCAGGTGGCAGCTTGGGGGTGCTGCCCCTCAGATGACCCCTCCTGTCGTTGAGGGTGGAGATGGTGGGATGTACCTGCACCTGGCAGAAGTGGAGGGTCCTCCCGTCCCCCACATGGGGTCATCTGACCTGGGACACATGCCGTAATAGCCTCTGCCCAGCAGAGGACTTTGGAGTCCCAGGGCAGTCGCTTGGCAGAGCTGATGGCTTGTCCCCACACCTAGACCCCTGCAGTGTATGTGGGAGTTGTGGATTCAAGTCTTTTTAAAATGTTACCATTCCTGAGTGGGGCCTCACATGTATCTTTTCCTGAAATGCCTTTGTCCTAGGACATCATAGTGGCATTTGGGTGATTTGGAAACAAAGCAGCATCTGTTTTATCTCTGTTGCCTGGAGACAGCAGAATGGTACAAGAATAGGGCAGCTTAGGGGCAGCCCCCGTGGCGCAGCGGTTTAGCGCTGCCTGCAGCCCAGGGCGTGATCCTGGAGACCCTGGATCGAGTCCCACGTCAGGCTCTCTGTGTGATGCCTGCTTCTCTCTGCCTGTGTCTCTGCCCCTCTCTCTCTGTCTCTATGAATAAATAAATAAAATCTTTAAAAAAGAAAAAGAAAAGGGTAGTTTAGAATCCTGATGTGTTGTAGTTCAGTTTTTTGTTTTTTGTGTTTTTAAAGATTTTTTAATTACGGGAGAGAGCAAGCAGGGGCATGAGTGAGGGGAGGGACAGAGGTAGAGGGAGAAGCAGATTCCTTGCTGAGCAGGGACCTGATGTGAGGCTTGATCCTGGGACCCTGGGATCATGACCTAAGCTGAGCACAGACCCTTCACTGACAGAGCCACCCAGGAGCCCTTGTAGTTGAGTTTTTTTCACCTTTTGGTAAAAAAAAAGTAGCTGTTCACAACTGGTCAGGCTGTGGTTAAACCCTGCCTAGGCCAGGAGGGCAGCACTCTTGTCTTTTCCTTGTGAGTCACATGGCACACCTTAGCACCAAGGCCCTCTAACTGGCAGGACAGCTTTGCTGAGTCCAGTCCCCCAGTCGGCTCAGGCTCTTCCCTGGGTGGCGGCAGCAGGGAGGAGCTTCCTCCTGCACTCAGGGCTCTGAGAGGTGCATCCTGGGAGCTCCAATGCACATCTGGGGTGCAGCAGCCTCAGGATTTCCTTGGAGGAGGTGGAACCTGCCGCACGGGCCCGTGGGCCTCCTGCTCACAGCTCTCTGTCTTGGCAATAGCACGTGGCTGCCCTGTTCCCCGGGGATGTGGACCGCCTGCGGAGGATGTCTGTGATCGAGGAGGGGGACTGCAAGCGGATTAACATGGCCCACTTGTGTGTGATCGGGTCCCATGTGGTCAATGGCGTGGCAAGGATCCACTCAGAGATCGTGAAGCAGTCTGTGTGAGTGGGGCCAGTATTTGCCCTGAGCTTCCTTCCCAACCCCACATCTGCCTCTGGGGACTATTAGCTGCAGTGGCTGGGGCACAATTGCTCTGCTGCCCTCAGGGGCACTGACCGAACTGCGTAGGATGTATCAGTGGGTGCCTAGAGACACTGAGGCCGCCAGCTCAGCGGGTGATGTTGAGGTGTGGAGCCTTCTGTCACCAGTGCCCACCTCTGTTCTGTGTCCTCTCCCTCCATCACTGCTAGTCAGGTGCCAGAAGTGCCCCCTTCGGGACAAGGGCCCCATGCCTAGACAGCATGGAGGTTAGGGCAGGAAGAGCCAGGGCTCATCAGCGAGAGGAAGGAGGAATTCCCTACCCTTGCTTGGCGGGTTATAGTCTTGGAACTCCTTCCCTCCATCCTCGACCCAGACGTGTATGGAGCACCTCCGTGAGCACCAGGTAGATGCCAAGCAGCTCTGTCCATGTGGGGCTTCTGTGTTCCTAGTGCTCACCCAAGGGTTTTGTGTGTTTGAGTCTTTAATTCCCATGGCAAAGCTCTCAGTGGGGTGTGTCCCCAGTTACAGATGAGGAAACTAAACCCTGGTTCTCAGGCTCTGCAGCCTACACATGTCCAGTGTCATGGTCACTGTGGAAGATGGCCCGTCCATGCTGCCGCCACTGTGCTTATCGCCATGTGGCCAGGTGTGCAGTGCTTTGAATGTGCTGTGGGCCCACTGTCCTCAAAGCATGCGGTAATGCTAACTGCTCTGTGCCCTTTAGAAAACAGAAGCTTCATGATCTTCCAGGGGATTTCCTTATGTTCTCTTGCTCACCTTATTCAAAACACAGGGTTTGTGATCCTTGCCTGTTTCCTGTTTTAGCTTTAAGGATTTTTATGAGCTGGAGCCAGAGAAGTTCCAGAATAAGACCAATGGCATCACACCCCGACGGTGGCTGCTGCTGTGTAACCCGGGGCTGGCCGACACCATCGTGGAGGTGAGACCAGCTGCCTTTGAGTCTCCAGGCAGCTGTGGGCACAGGTAGCACCTCAGCTCTTGCCCATCACCAGCAGGTGCCAAGGGGACAGCGATCACTCCTTTATGTGTTGACCAGCAGTGGCTCTTGGCTGGGGACGTGTGGGGTCAGATTTGGGAGGCACTGGGCCAGGCTGGATGGTTAGTCAGTGACCCCAGGTGCTGTGCTGCCTTGAGAACACAGTGGGTGGCTGCAGGGTGGCGTCTGGAGAGAGACTGCCACAGGGATGCTGCCTGTCCTTGCTGTGTATGTCAGGGAAGGCGTCCCTGGGAAAGGAAACGGGATGGCACAGTGCAGATCCGAAGGGCTAACAGGAGGGAGCTGGGAGGACTGAATCTCTCCTTGTGTGGAGGGCTGTGGTCTAGGACCTGGAAGGCCAGCAGTGCTCGGGACCTGGTGAGGCAGGCAGGAGGAGGACAAGGCCTTGGAGATGACCAGGGCATTTGGAGGCCAGGAGTTTTCCTTATTATCCTAAACTAGCAACAGGGAGACTTAGCTGGGGACTTGATGAGAGGTGCATTTGGACCCACCACCCAATCAGGAAGTGGCTGGACGGTGCCGGCCTTGGGGTTGGGTGAGGAGCCACTGGCCCCCCGTGGTCCCTCATGTTTGTGGTGTGTCTGTGAAGGGGACAAGACAAGGGGTCTGCATGATTGTTGGGGATGTTTGAGCTTGACCAGACTGCAATGTCCTGGTTGGGAGCAGGCCCAGGTCTGATTGAGAGATACCCCCGGGTAGGGTGGCCTCTGGTGGTTGTGGCCATGGTGTGGAGGTGTTTCCTAACAGCCAGGTGTTGTAAGAGAGAAGCAGGCCTGGGGCCAAGCCAGAGCAGATCCAGGGAGGAAAGCAGAGATAGGCATGACAAAATGGGAAGACAGTCTCCAGGTGAGTCCCACAACAAGCAGAAACCATGTGTCCCTTTATGATCCTGCAGAAAATCGGGGAGGGTTTCCTGACTGATCTGAGCCAGCTGAAAAAGCTGCTGCCATTGGTTGATGACGAGGCACTCATCAGAGATGTGGCCAAGGTGAAGCAGGTAGGCCCAGTGTGGGACAGCAGTCCTGTATCACCTGGGTATCAGACCCGGGTGTCTACCAAGTCCACCTACCCCACTCAGTGCTCAGGTCACGAGGAGGCGGGCAGGCAGGTGCAGATCTTAGAGCGGCCCAAGCACACCGTTGCCTCACACCCTGCCGGAAATGCTCATCCACGGGAGGCACTCCGAGAGTCCAGCCCGTCCTGGCATCTCTGCACGCAGCATGCCAGTGGGTTGCACGAGAGCCTCTTCCCAGGGCAGCCAGCCTCGCAGCCAGACCAGCTGGGGCCCCTGGAGCCCTCCAAACCTGACAGGTGGCAGCCATGACCAAGAACGTGGCCTCTCCTGAGCCTGCCTCTCTGGCTGGGCTGCTACATGGTATCATGACCCAGAAATAGTCCCTCATCTGAGTCTTCACGCCCTGCCTGCCCCATGTGTGTCCCTTTAGACCACACTCACAACTCCCTTTCCTTCTGCTTTTATTACTCTTCTGCTTCTGTGCAGGTTTGCTTTTTGGTCTAGTTTCCCGTATATTTCTGCCGCTCCTGGTGTGCGCCCACATTCAGCCTCCCTGCCCGATCCCCCCATCCTCGGAAGGCCTTCAGGAGCTTTTGCTCTGCTTTGTGGCTGGATGAGGGACAGACATGTCCCCTTGGCCCTGACCTTGAGGACTCAGGGGGTTGGAGCATCCTTGTCCTTTCTTCTCCCCAGGAAAACAAGCTGAAGTTCTCTGCCTTCCTGGAGAAGGAATACAAGGTGAAAATCAACCCCTCGTCCATGTTCGACGTGCACGTGAAGAGGATCCATGAGTACAAGCGGCAGCTGCTGAACTGCCTGCACATCATCACACTGTACAACCGTGCGTGTCCCTGGGGTCACCCCACAGGGCTCAGGGGCTGGTTGATGTATTCAGTTTAGTGTTCAGTTCATGTTTAGTTGTTAGCTCTTAGACTTGTCTTGAGTTTTTTGGAAAGCTCTTACTTGCTAGAGACATTTAAAGTATGTTTACCAAAAGTGAAATAGGACATGTTACTTTATGCATGTACCTTAAACTATTTCAGCAGCATTCAGTTACAAGAGCAAATAGGAATCAAAGAGCCCCTACAAGTGAATATAAATATTCACTAGGTTTATAAATAGAATAAAGCTTTAGGGAAAAACTTTGATTTTAGAATTTTGTAATTTAACGCAGTGACTATCAATTTTGAGAACCAAAGGAACCACAAATGCTCTTTTCAAGATACAAAGCTCCTCTCAAGAACATCAGAGCTCCCATTATCCGTAAATAAGACTTGGTCAGGTGGAGGAAGCCGCTTCTGTGTGGACAGTTAAGTAACAGGATAGATAATGTTCCGGTTAAGTGTTTCTGATGCTCCTGCCTCCCTCCGTCCAGGAAAGGCCCCAGGTGAGGGCCCATCTGTGCACGTGGCTGAAGGAGGCACTTCACGATGCCTCCCTGGCCAGAAGTAGCAGTTCACAGAGGCCTTGTTTTGTTTTCTTTGCTATGGTTTTCTTTGGTGGTTGGGATTTTCTGCCTTTTCTTTTCCAGTTTCCCAGCAGTGTGCCTGGGCCTCTGTTGGAACCACCCTGTCAGTCCCCTGTCTGTGAGTGGCTGGGCACCCCTGCCCTCCCTCCCACGCAGTCCTAGGCTCTCTGTGTGGGCCTGTGGGCTTCTCTGTATGGGCCGCTTCTGGGTCCTGCAAGCCCCGCTCTTGTACCAGGCAGGCAGCTGGGGGCTTGTGCCGTTTCCACCCCGTCATCTGTGCTGCTGTCCCTGTCCCCAACTCCATCTCTGTCTCTTCTGTGGATGAACACATTCAGTGCTCACCACCAGTCCTTTTCGCAAAGCTGTTCTGTTTTGCCCTTCTGCTTGGATTTCCCTCTGGCTTACTCCAGCCGCTCGTGGGAACTGCACTCTGAGTTCTTGCTTATTCAGGACATGTAGGACAGTTTGCAGGTGACATACTAGGCTTCACTTTCTTTATTGGAACATCTTTTAGGTCTGTCCCTGCACTGTCCAGAGGGTGGGACATTGGCATGTCGTAGTGTCAAGTGCATGTGCTGACTCTCTGTGCCAGGTGTTGTGGGTCAGTTTTCCTGGATGCTCAGGGCATTCTGAATGCATTGGCTGAGGTCCTGTATTATTTCTAGGAAGGTTTCTTTCTTTCTTTCTTTCTTTCTTTCTTTCTTTCTTTCTTTCTTTCTTTCTCTTTCTTTTCTTCCTTTTATTTCTTTTCTTTCTTTTTTTTTTTTAAACAACAGATTCTCAATTTCTCAAAAAGGTTGAGTTAAGCATCGCAGTGGTGACTTCAACCTCAACTCGGCTTAGTACTGATGGAGGTAATCTGCTTAACAGTCTCAGATCAGTGGGTCACCTGTGGATCCTCATCTGAAAATGATCCCAAGTTTTAGGACCTTCACCACACGGAATTTTTCTTGTAGCAATTCTTAGAGTCTTGGTGGACATCAGAACTGGTCCTTCATTTTGAGATTCTTTTCCTTCGTGCTCTGATGAAGTCAACACATACCTATTACAAAGATTTTACATTGCAGCTGGTTAGAGTAATTCTAATTCGGTGAATTGGCCACCTTTGGTTCCCTGGGTGTCTTCCCAGTGGCTTCCTGCCCAACTTGTTCCCTGGGGAGAGTGAACGGCAGTGAGTGAGGAACAGGAGTTGGGCGTCTGAGGCTCTGCGGTAGTTGCAACCGCGTCTGCCTCAAAGAGCTCTAGGAAGGTTTCTTGAAGGGTATCTTAAACATTTGTTTGGTGCCACTATTTTGGTTTCCTCCTTCCCAGACTCCAGCGAGGTATGTGCTGGCTTCCTTCTACCTATCTTCTTCTTGTCTCTTGATTTCTCTCCAGACATTACCAAAGGTAATTTCCTTTTCTGCCATCTTGTCCGCTTTTCTTGTTTCCATCCTCTGTGTGTGTGTGTGTGCTTTAGTGTCTCCCTCTCGGCGTCTTTTCACCTCTGTGTCCTGCGGGTTCTCATTTCATGCACTGCCATTTCCTAGCCTCCTGGTATCTTGGTTGGACGCTGTGGACTCTTTGGAGCGGATGAGCTGATGGCCATCGCGGGCTGCAGATTCTTACAGGGAGGCCTGTTCCCCTTCTCGTCTATAGCCAAGCGGCAGATTCCTGTTACTGGCTGAATCTGCACCGCCCAGGGCTACCAGCAGGGGCTCCATGGAGCCCAGGGCAGCCACCGGCTTCCTCTGTCTCCCCAAGCCCAGGCTGGCAGGAGGCCGTCTGCCCTGACCCCTGACTTCTGGCCCCTAGGATGTTGGACCCTCCCAGCAGGTTTCCCTAGGGGAGAGGCCCAGGTGAGGTCTGCCTTCCTCTACCCCAGAACGCCGGCCGGCCTTGCTGACAGCTCCCCTGGGGGTTGGGTCCCAACATCCCACCCACCTTGGGAGTTTGTGTGTTTTTCTGAGTTTTGGTGAAAATGTAAGTTGTGTTTTGTTTTTTCCTCATTTCCCCATTGTTCGTCTGATTTCCGGAAGTGGGAAATTTCAGAACTAAGGGACAGCCATGTTCTTGGTAGGACCTGGAGTCTGTGGTTAGAGCTCAGCCATGATTCTCACTGCTCTGGTTGGCTCCTGACCTCTGGTGAATGCGCTGCAAAGTTGCCTCACCCCTCTTTGTAGACACCTCGGCACCTCTCCGTTATACACTGAGGGCCAGGGGCTTGTGCCCTGACCCTCTGGCTGCCCCCATGCAGGAGAGTTTCAGGGTCTCACTCATGCCCCTCAAGGGGTGGCGGTGCCAATTCTATGATCCCAGAGTCCCCTCTTTTCCAAGTATCCATCATGTGCAGAGGCCTTGACAGCCAGGGACTAGACCCAAGCCACCCTCCTGCTTTGTGCTGTTGTGGGAACAGAGGTACAGCTTTTCCTGTGAGTCTTTTGGAAGAGTTTGTTCCTGGGCTCCTCCCTCACCAAAGTGGGATATAAATGCAGAATCTAGGGGGCTTACATCCTTTTTGTAAGCAAGAGTTCCCAGCAGACACACAGGGGCCCGCTGGCTGTACCCTACCACCTGTATTGGGGTTGCTCTGACCCCCAACAGGAAGCTGATTGGCACACCACATCCCAGAGCAGGGCTTTGTCAGGCTTTAGTGCCTTATTTTAATCTCTCATTTGTCCTGCAGGAATAAAGAAGGACCCAGCCAAGGCCTTTGTGCCCAGGACCATCATGATTGGGGGCAAGGTGAGGTGATGTCCTCTTTGCTCCTTGCTTGGTATTTAACTTGAATGCACAAACCACCATGCTTTTTATCCTAACCTGAGTGCCAGTTCCCTGGTGGGCCGGACACTGCAATGGCTCAGAGCCAGCACACACATGGAACACCAGAGGTCCTTACTTCCCCAGGTGTGTTTGTGGACTGAGGTGACTCAGTGTCCATCAGCTCAGCAATAGGAGGGAGCTGCATGGGCCCCCTGCCTGCCAAGCACATGAAAGTGGGAGGTCTGCAGCCCCAGGGGGCTTGCTGGCCTTCCATCTGATAGGGCTGTGCCATTCCTTGCATAACCACCACTCTTCTGCACCTGTGCCTGCTCTTAGGCCCCAGCATGCTGCCCACTGACTGCCTTGCACTCGTGTGCTGAGTGGGCATAGATTGCTGGCTGCTCCATCAGCCAGATGTGCAGCTGCTGGGAGCTCAGCCTAGCTTTATTTCCTGTGTTCACAGTGGTGCATGCTTTTGGACATGCAATCGTGGAGTCCCAGTATGCTGCTGTGACTCCTTAGTGGGTCTCCTCTCCATGCTCTAGGGCCGGTATCCCCATCCTCTGCCACTTTTCCCCAAAAGCCTCAGCATCATCAGAGAACATGAGGACACTGTGGGGTGTTGCTAATTCATGGGCAGCTTGCTCCACCAGCTGAAGCACACATGAGGGTGGACAGGAGGTTTGAGCACCTGCCTGGGGCCAGCAGACGAGGGACACCTCCTTGGCTCCCAGCCCTCTCCCAGCGCTGGCCATTTCCTCAGCCCAGGGTGTGGGCTTTCCAGCAATTTTTAAAATATTCATTACTAAGATTTTTCAGCTTGGAGAAAAGTAGAAAGAATGGTAATAGTATCCATACACCTATCCCAGACCCCTTTGGGACCATTTAAGAGTTGGTTCCAGATGTAGTATCACCTGTAAATGCTTCACCCGTGTTCCCAATGATATTTTCCTCCCAAACCACCGCAGATACAGGCTCTTTCTACCACCACCACGATAGGGTCTTCACATGTAGATGGCAAAGTCCTAAGTATCTGGAGCAGTTTGTTTGACTCTGGACCCTGGCAAGGGCCTAAGCTGGCCACTGCTTGCTGTCTGGTGAATCTCATCATCGGGAGCTTCCCACATGCCTGCATCCTCTGTCTGCAACTGATTTGCTATGGAGGTTGGGTTGTGTGTCTTCCCCAGACACCTGTCTGGCATGTCCTAGTATGTTCCTTAGTTCCTGGTTTCTGAGAAGTGGGTAGTTCTACAAGTCCTCCTCCTTTGATCTCATTCCTAAAGAACTGACGAGTCAGAACAGGTTTGAGGCTGACAGGTTTCAGCACAGGCTGAGGTAGCACATGTGGTGGGTAGCCCCCGGCCCAGCATGACCACAGATCAGCACGGGCCCCGGGACCCTCTGAGGACCCTGTGCTGCCCTGAGCACAAGTGTGTTCATGCTAAATTTCCTGTCTGTGTCCAGGCGGCCCCCGGTTATCACATGGCAAAGATGATCATCAAGCTGGTCACATCCATCGGCAACGTAGTCAACCATGATCCTGTTGTGGGTGACAGGCTCAAAGTGATCTTCCTGGAGAACTACCGAGTGTCTTTGGCTGAGAAAGGTAGGCCCTGGGGGGCTGCATGAGACAGGAAAGCCCGCTCCTGCCTGAGTATGAAATGGGTGGTCATTGCTGGTCAGGCAGATGAATGCTGCCCTGGCCACCAGGCTCTTCTGGCCAGCGGTGACCTTGGTTCTAGCAGTGAAAGGCTTTGGGGGACCTCCCTGCCCATCACTAAGTGCAGAAAATGATTGTCCACCACGGACATCCTTTGTTTCTATCCTTCCTCACTTACTGTGACCTTGCTCCTCTCCTGTTCTCTGTTCCCCAGCATTCTTTCCTGCTCTTCCAGCTTGTTCTTGCTGGCAGGATATGCTTCCAGGGTGGGCCTCCTCCTCCCACCCCCTGAGGATGCTTCTGCTGTCAGCATCTGTGTGCTCTCAAGGGCCTTGCCAGCCTCCGATCTGGGCTGGCATCTGCCTCTTCCAAGGCAGCTGGGGCCTGGTGTCCCACCCCATGTTGAAAGTTTAGTCTGGGACTGTCCTTCAAGGGTGTTTGCTGCCATCTGGGGCAGTTCCTGCAGCCAAATATGCCTTGGAGTGTGACTGTCCTGAGCTGGACAGGGCTTTCTTGTGTTTTTTTTTTTTTTTTAATTTTTTTATTTATTTATGATAGTCACAGAGAGAGAAAGAGAGAGGCAGAGACATAGGCAGATGGAGAAGCATGCTCCATGCACCGGGAGCCCGATATGGGATTCGATCCCGGGTCTCCAGGATCGCGCCCTGGGCCAAAGGCAGGCGCCAAACCACTGCGCCACCCAGGGATCCCTGGACAGGGCTTTCTAAACTGGCCACTCCCTGAGGCCCTGGCAGGAACCTGGAAAACCTGAACCTGGAATCCTGGCTCAGAGCAGTAGGCACTTCTGTAACTCCCCAGCTGCTGTCCTTTGCACTGAATAACTCTCTCCCCTCTCAGGCCAGCTCGGCTGGGTCATCAGACGGTCTCTGGTCCCTCAGCTGTCACAGACCATACACGGCTCAGGGTCAGTACTGTGGTTCTTCACTGAGCTTCTGATGTACCTTACAGCCCTTTGCTTCCTGGAACTCCCCCCTCCTCGCTGTTCTCTGGGGCCAGCTGGCTCCTGGGCACCTTTAGAACCGGCCTTGGGGTTCCTGGTGTGGAGTCTCAGAGCCAGGGTCTGGATCCCCCAAGTGCTCCCCAGCTCTTGAACTTGCTGCAGCAGAGGGTCTGCTGTCACGTCAGCTCATGGGGGCTGGAGATGCCCGTATCTCCCTACCCTGGTCCTTGGCCTTGAACAAAGGCTGGACTCTGACCTTTGCTGACCCTGAGTGCCAGCCACTGGGCTGGGGAAGCCACATCAGCTCCATGGACACGAGGAGGACGTGGGGGCAGGGATGCCAAGGCAGAGTAGGACGATGCAGCTCTCCCAGTAGCCATACCTTGGAGCCACAGGGAGCCTAGCCTTGGGAGAAGCCTTAAGGCCCAGCATTTGGGTGGTCATCATGGCGGGCTCTGCCCAGTCTGAATACAGCATAGGGGGACTTGTGTGCGTGTGAAGACAAGGAAATCACCCCACTGTCCTACTTCTTTGGTTCTTTAAGAGTCTAGATTCTTAAGTGCCCTGAGGAGCCTTATGGGCTGATGGCAGGAGACAGAACTACTGATGGGGTAAAAGGGAATGATAACGCCCAAAGCCAGAACCACAGGTCCCTAGACGATGGTTGGGCCTGGTCCCTGGAAGCTTTCAGAACACAGGTCTTCTGCTACCTTGGGTCTTCTCAGGAGTCACCATCTTGGCTTCAGATGGCCCTGGATCAGGAACGGAAGCCCTTACAGGCCAGCAGGAGTGAGCTGCAGGGCTCAGGCCCATCCTGGAGTGGACAGGAGGTGGCGCCCGCTCTGGAAACACCAGCCATGGGCTGGAGGAGGGCATGTGGTATCCCTACACAATTCCCCTTGCTCTTGTGCTGTGAGCAGCCTGTGATGACGTACCTTCTCGTCCACCTGCTTGCAGTGATCCCCGCGGCAGACCTGTCACAGCAGATCTCCACTGCGGGCACCGAAGCCTCGGGCACAGGCAACATGAAGTTTATGCTCAATGGGGCCCTCACTATTGGCACCATGGATGGCGCCAACGTGGAGATGGCCGAGGAAGCCGGCACTGAGAACCTCTTCATCTTTGGCATGCGTGTGGAGGATGTCGAGGCCCTGGACCAGAAAGGGTGTGTGTCTTTCCCTCTGCCATTGAGGGCACAGCAGCATCCTGGGCACTGCTTGGCGCATGGGGGGTGGGAGTGGGGTGGAGCTGAGAGGGCTCTGGGAGGCAGGCCTGCACTTGCTGGGGGAGAGTCCCGCCTGGTGGATGGGTGGCTGTGGGCATGGTGGCCGAGCTTCCCCCGTCCAGAGCTCCCATGGGCTGTCCCAGGAGGCTGGCTTGGGCGGCAGCTGGCTGCTCTGTGCTGGTCTCCGCTGGCCTAGTCTGTGGGTTCAGAGAGAGTTTTTAAAAGGGCGGAAGACGCCAGTCTCTGGAGGGAAAGCCCTGAGCACTCTGGGCCAGTGTGGGGATTTGGGGCTGGCTTACTGCTGAGATTCTCTGGCCAGATTCTGTACAGTAACCCTATGGTCTTGGAATAATTTCAGGTTTACAGAAGAGTTGCAGAGATAGCACAGAGTTCTGTAGACCCTTCTGCTAATTCCCCTATTGCTTACATCTTCTAGAGTGGTGCATGGTCAGAATGAGCTCACCAATAGCGGTGCAGTGTCATTTATTAAAGTTCATGCTTCATTCACTGTTTCCCCACGAATATCCTTCTCTGTCCCAGGTTCGCATCCAGGGCACCCCCGTGTTTTGACGGCAGGTCTTCTGTCTCCTTTAGTCTCTGACACGTTCTCAGCCTTTCCTCATGTTTCATGACCTCCGATACTCTTGAGTCTGGCCCCAGCTTGATTCTGAGCAACAGTTGAAAAGACAGGATTGCCTAACTGCCTAAAAGTTCTCAGGGAAATTGGTGAGGCCTCAGGGACCAGCTGAGTGAAAACCCAAATGTCACCTAAAGTCACACTTGAGAGTGAGCCAGATGGCTCAGCCTGAGAGCAGCATACTCCCGCATGTGTCCTTTTCCACCTGCTTCTCATTTGGGCTCTCTGCCCTATCCCCTGTCCTGGGAACTCACATGCTTCCACCCCCCAGACTCCCTGATAGCCGTGGCCCTACAGGTGAACACCTGGTTTTGCTGGTCATTGTCATGGCGCCAAGAGGCAGGGTGGTGGCAGGGAGCAGGGTCAGAGGTAGAGATGGCGTGCAGCAGGCAGGTTCTCAGGCAGCCTGCCCCCGTCTTCCAGTAACCGCATTTCTGTGAGCCGGGAGCCCTGGGATTCAGTCTGCATGTCGGGCGCATTGCTGCCTCTTCAGGGCCCAGCAGTGCGTGTGGCCGGGCTGCCAGTGCAGGCCTCCCAGGCCTGGAGCCATCTGGGACCAGGGGTGCGTGCCCCATACAGGCACGCCGCCCCTGCCCGCAGAGGCTGACACCTGGCCCCCCCCTCCCTGCAGGTACAATGCCAGAGAGTACTATGAGCGCCTGCCCGAGCTGAGGCAGGCCCTGGACCAGATCAGCAGCGGCTTCTTCTCTCCCAAGGATCCACACTGCTTCAGGGATGTTGTCAACATGCTGCTGAACCACGACAGGTTCGTTCTTATGTCCCTCCCTACCGGCAGGTCACACAGGTGGGTCATCTTCCTGGTGGGTGGTAGGCTGTGCTTTAGGGGTGACCCCCGGCCTCCCAGCCCAGCCTCCCAGGCAGAGGCTCAGACCATTGACCTGGACCGACTCAGCCACAACCAGGGCCTGCAGGGGCCTCTGCAGGTGCTTAAAGCCTGGGGCACCCTGGCGGTAGGGATTGCCAGCTCATGGTCCACCCTCACCGGCACTGGTTGGCCCCCCAGAAGGGCATGGTGAGCAGAAGGTGGCTTCTCGTGGGGCTGGTGGAGGCAATTCTTCCTGAGCCCTCTCTTCCCCAGAGAAAACGGTGGTGTGGGCAGGATGCCCCAGAAACTTCTGGAAGGCGGTAGGGCAGGGGGTTGTGCTTCACAGTCCCAGCTGAGGCAGATGTTGGGCAGTGTGGCGCAAAGTGGTTAAAGTGGAATTACCCTGTGACACAAATTACAACGTAGTTAATGTTTTGTTACAATGTGTCTACACGTGGTTATAACGGCCCTGCAGGTCAGCAGTGCTGCCTGTCCTCCTTGACGGTTCTTTGCTCCACCCTGTTGGGAAGAGCTGAATCTGCTAAATGCTGAGAACTGACCTGTTCCACTCTCGGTTGCCTTTGGGTTGGTTTCCTCTGTTGCTCTTCAGTGAGGGCTGTGAGCAGGCGTCAGACCAAATGGCAGCCCCACACGTCACAGGGCTAGGAGTGTGACCCTGGCTCAGACTGTGATCATGGAAACATTGTTCATGGTTTCATGAATTGTCTGCATTTCCCTGTTCCTAAGTCCTACAGTTTTGTCCACCACATCCTCTCCCTATAGATCACCAGGTCTCGGCCCAGGTGGGCCCTGGGAACAGATGGCTGCTCAGAGCCTCGCTGTCATCCTGGGAGGTGGGGTCAGCAGGAGGCCTCTCCGCCTGTGCTGTTCAAAGGGACCCCAGCCCCCAGCCCCACCCCCGTCGCAAGGGGACGATGCATTGCTTACAATCCCTTCTTTAAAGAAACCGCTTACAACAAGGTTTTTATAGAACAGTATCCCCAGAAGTACTACTCATAGAGCTACTCTGCGGCCTGATAGACGCCATCATCCCGAGGTGTGGGAACTGGAGTGGCTGTAGTCTGGTGGCCCGTTAGCCAGTCTCTGGCTTGTTACCTACCGCGGTGGCCTAGTCTCCTATCTCCCGTTTCAGGTTCAAGGTGTTTGCAGATTATGAAGCATACGTGGCATGCCAGGCCCAGGTGGACCAGCTGTACCGGGTATGACTGTAGGGCCCCGGAGCTGGTGGGGCAGCCTAGCAGGGGAGCAATGGGCGACATCTCTGAGGTCCAGTCCTGGGAAGCCACAGTTCATCCTGTGGCCCAGGGCAGGGTGGCTGGGGGTTTGGCAGGCTGAGCTGCCTCGTGGACGCGGGCTGGCCAGGGCTGCTTCATCACTTCCTGCTCAGACTGCCTCAGTTGTCCCTCTGCTCAACCCCTGGGGCCAGGCTGCCATCCACGCTGGCATCTGCACAGCCAGTCACACCAGCACAGAAGGCAAGTGAGTGGGGCAGGAGTTTCCTTTGTGCGGACGGCAGAGGCAGCCCCAGCCCGTGGTCTGAGTTCCCCTGCAGCATCATCGGGAGGGTGGGGGGGTGGGTGCAGAGCCACGAAGACGTGTGTGCACAGAAAAACTGGTTTAACTGTGAGAATGCCCGCTTCCTAGAAGGGTGCAAGCTTCTGTGTTAAGTAGAGGGAGGGACACAGCCGTAAGGAGTAGCCTTTGTGAGGCCAGGCCGCCGCAACCAGCTCCCTGCTCCTTAGCGAGGTGGACAAGGGCCCCCCTCATCCATTTCTGTGTGGAGCATGTGCCAGCCTGTACCTGAGGGAGTGGGCACATCCATGTGGGGTCTCGTAGTCATAAGGGCCTGAGCCTGGGAGGTGAAGGAGGGTGTCCGTCCCTCATACCCACTGCCTCCCCTTCCTGGGGTTTTCTAGACACCCAGCCTGTGCGCCTCACCGGGGGTGGCAGTGGGAGAACTCTGGCTGTGCGCCGAGTTGTGAGTCAGATGGATTATTAACCAGGTTCTTGGATGAGGCCTGAGGGGTGTGTGTCCCTGATGCTACGGTCCTGGCCCCCCCACCCCACCCACAGGGAAGCTGCCTGCCCTTGAGGACCTGTCAAAGAACAGGGGATCCCGGGAAACCAAGTGACCAGGCAGGGCTCTGGGGGAGCCTTTGCTCCTGACATGGGCCTCAGCAGTCTGCCCTTTCCGGAAGGCTCATTTTAGTGCTGGCTCATTTGGGGGCGGGGGGGGGGGGGCGGTGGTGAGCTGTGGACGGGAGAGCCCCTGGATCCACTTGGTGTAGAGTACTTGCTTGCTGGTGTTTCTCACACCAGCCGTGCCCTGAGGTTGTGGCACATTTTGAGGCTCCTTGCCCCTCTATCTAGTCATTTGGTAGCTTTTCTGGTCAGCGAGGGGTTGATGGCCACTTCCCTTTGTTCATCAGGCTGCCTGGAGGCTGAGAGCTCATCCGGGAATAGTCCAGAAGGCTATCCTGTGTGGTGCCTGAGATCACTCAGCCTGTCCTTCCCTCTGCAGAACCCCAGGGAGTGGACCAAGAAGGTCATCAGGAACATCGCATGTTCGGGCAAGTTCTCCAGTGACCGGACCATCACGGAGTACGCCCGGGACATCTGGGGCGTGGAGCCCTCCGACCTGCAGATCCCACCCCCCAACCTCCCCAGGGATTAGGTCCCCCGGCCACCGCCTGCTTGTTGCAGGGTTGTTTCTGGAGAGCCTTGAGGATCGTGGTCGTGGCTTAGGGTGAGCCAGGAAGGAAGGGTGCAAGAAGTGAGATGCTCCCCAGTGTCCTGCAGGAAAGCAGAGCGCGCAGCCCCGGCTGGGGTGCCCCACAGCTATAGCTCACCTACCTGAGGAGGTGGGGAAGTGGGAGCCGCTGGCTGGGCTCCTCTGAGACCTTGCACGCACCTGCAGTGAGCTTGTTTTTAGCTTTGAGCCTCTGGATTCTGGGGTCTGGGCAGGCAGCTGTGGCCAAGCCCGGGGAGCTGGCCACAGCTGTGGCCTCCTGGTGTCTGCAGCTGCCGCATGGGTGCCCTGGCCCCGGGTTTCCAGACTGATAGATGGGGGGGGACACCCGCGTCTGGCATCTGGGGGTCCTTGGCTAGGACAAGGCTGGCTGATGCAACATTAGCTTGGTTTTGCTTTTCCAAGAGGAAAATCAACTTCATGGGAAAACGAAAATAGCTAAAACCTGTTTTTATTTTAGTAACTAAAGATTATACTTCTGAAGTTTTGTGCTTGAGAGACAATGCCGGGATGTTTTGCCCAGCCTGGGGCCCCGGGGGCTATGCCCCTGCCGTGTCCTGGGGGCTGCGTCTCCTGTCCTTCACTCCAGGCCAGCCTCCCTCGCCCGCCCTTTCTGCCAGCGTGCCTGCCATGGAAGGGACTGAGCAGGCCCAGAAGGGAGCCTGCTTTGTACTCTGCCTGGGTGGGGGCTGGTGGGGGCAGCTGCCCAGGGGAGAGCCAGGGGCAGCACTCCCCCAGCACCCTCCCACAGGCGCTGCCCTCACTCCGAGTTCTGACTGCTCACAGAATCGGCCCACAGACGACCTACTCACGTGCACGTCACCAGAGCTGCAGGTCTGCTGGGGAGGCCCGTGTTCAGCGGCTGTGGTCACCCCCCCACCCCCTCCTGTTGTCCTGTCTCTTGGGCTATGTGTGACCATCACTGTGCCACTTACTGTTACTGCCTTGTGTGAGTCACCGATTAAACCTTCCTGCCTGTGCTTGGCCAGCCTGGCCCATGTTCCATTCTGCGCCGTGGGCAGGGTGGGGGCTGGTGCCAGGCGCAGGCCTCAGAGCCTCCCTCGGAATGGCCTAGGCCCTGGGATTAAGGACGGACCAGGTTCTCCCACCCCGGCCGTGAGAGGAACGTGGAGTATGTGCCAGAACCACCAGCTCATGAAAGGAGCGTCAGATCTGCCATCAGGGTGTTAGCACTGTTGGTGCAGACTGCATTGCTGCTTTTGCATGTCTCTTGTCACCCACTCCTGGCCCTGGGGACGAGGGCACGTCCCCCTGGAGCCGTCTGGGATCTGGGGGCGCCAAGTGGCTCCCAGGACACACATGTAAACCACAGAATTGACTTGACGGCTGTGCGTGTCTGCATCTGTTCCTTCTGTTCCCCCCTAAGACTGGTTCTGTATCGTTGGGGGTTACAAATGCCACAGCCCACGGTTTGGTTCAGGCTTCGTTAATCACTGGGGGGGGGGGGGCGCGTTTGGAACTGATGAACTGCCATGAGCGAGTGAGGGCCCCGTCCCTGCTTCCTGCTCCCTGTTCCTCAGCCCGCCTGTCAGGCCTGTCAAAGTACTGCAGCCCAACTTCATGGCCTGCCTCGCCCCCAGGAGGGAGCTGGGGTGGCTCACACAGACTGATGCGGCTGCGCAAGCGGCCCTACCTCCAGGCTTCTGTCACCCGGCACAGCAGTTACTGGGGAACATGGTGTGGGGGGGGCCATGCGTCTCCCTGAGGATGGGGTGTGCTGCCGCAGGGAGACCCAACCCAGGAGGCGGCAGGGGCCTGTCCAACAGGAAGAACATACACCTGGCAGGAACACACCTCGGGGGAATGTGTTTCAACCCATTTGTCAGAGGCCTGGTTTCCCGGATGTGAGTATCACTGGGGGCAGCTTGCAGGTGCCTGCCCCTGCGTCGGCACCTGGGCCCCCAGGCAGGCTGAGGGCGAGGCCCTCCATGCCCCGGGGGAATCTGCGCCCCCTCGACTGGAAAGCCCCAGAGCTTCAGGACCTGGAGCAGTCGGCTGTTGGAGCAGTGGGTCTAGGGGGTGGGGGGTGGATCCTCGCTCCGCCTTCCTTACCAGACCCGGCGTCCCTGTCCCCTCACTCCTCAGGTTGCACGGAGCTGGTCCCACTGGGCACCGGGCCACTGGGCAGCAGGGTCTGCAAGGGCGGCCGAAGGGCAGGGCGGCTCTTTGACAAAAGGTTTGAGCCCCGCACCCCCCATTCCTCTCAGTGGGTGAACGAGGCCATGCTCGAGGGCCAGAGCGAGAGATCCCACGCTCTGCTGCCCCAAGGCTCTTCACAGACCGGTGCCAGGGGCCAGCCTGGCATCTGTGGGTGCCACCCCAGAGCCTGCTGAGTGACACCAACATCCTGCAAGCCCGCTCCGGGTGAGGTATTTTAGGGAAACACCCTCTGTCCCATCTGGAGAGCTGGCCCCTCACAAACACACCTCGCCCCTCCTTGCACAGGCCTCCCCATCCAGAAGGAGAAAAGGCAGCTCCAGGACGTCCGTCCTTGTGGAGCCGCCCCTTCTCCCATGGGCTGGACCCTGAGCAGGGCCTGGGGCAGCTGGAGGTGCCACCAAGACATGACAGATGGACCACCACCACAATTTTATTCTTAAATAAATGCTCAGTCCAAGGCCAGGTTAGGTGGACAGGTGGGGAGAAAGCAGAGCAAGTGCAGGTCGTGGACCCATCCCCCACTGTGAGGCCCCGGGGAACAAAGGGTGCTGGGGGGAGGGCTGGGACCGCCGCCATCTCACGCAGCTTGGTCCCCAGACCCCACACCCCCGCCCCAGGACCCCTGGGCCCAGCTCAGCAGGTGTGGGGTCCAGCAGCGGGGGGCTGGCCTGCATGGTCACTGTCTGCCCGACAAGAGCTCAGGTTCAGGGGCAATAAGAGGGATGGGATCACACGCCAACAACCTGTGCCTTCCACGGACAGCCACGCTCCCAGCTGCCCAGGGTGGGCGCCCTGGGTCAGCTGGGCCTCCTCCGCCCGCCCCAGCTGGCATCTGGGTCCTCTGTCCAGGAGCATCAAGGACGCTGTGCGGCCACAGCAGACGGGAGGGCAGAGGTCTTCATGCTCCTTCAGGCAGCAGGACTCAGTGCTGGCGCCCGGGTTCTGACTTCCCCAGGAACTCCCTAGACAGGACAGGACAACCGTCAGCAGCCACCAGGGTCCTGTGGCCCATGGTCTCCGTCAGCCCATCCCAGGAGGACCAGCACCCACACAGAAGGCCTGAGTGACAGACCCAGGGCACCAACGGAAAGGCCTGGTCAGACCCCGACCCTGTAGGGGCAGAGACCGGGTCTCGGGCTGCTGTCCTTCGTTCTAAACTCTAGAGCTACACTCCAGGCTTGATTTTCTGGAACGTGTTCCTCTTGCGCTAGGGAAATCATAGCCCTAGAGCAAAGCCATACTCCTTCAGCCCTCAGGGCCCTGCTGAGGTGACCACGGCGGGCTGATGGGGGTAGGCTGCCATCAGACTCCCCGAGGGCCGGTCCCGGCACCCCAGTGCCAGCAGCCCCATGAAAGCACCCTGCAGGCCACCGGCACAGCGGGGGCTGCCTGTGCCTGGGATGGGGGCAGGGGGTTGGGCCTCACCCTGTCCACACTGCCCTTGGCCACTGTCTTGCCCTCATGCTTGGGCTCCGCACCTGGGAACGGGATGGGTGCCCACAGCCCAGCCACAGTCCCAGCCCAGACTGGCCGCGGTGGTGCAGCCAGGAGCACAGCCTCCCTCCAAGAAGCAGCTGAGGCCAAACAGGCTTCTGGGAGCTGGCCCGGGGTCTCCCATGTGCTATATGCCCCAGGCCGGCCCCAACAGCTGTGTGGGCACCACAGGGTCTGGGGTGCCCCCCGAGGTGGGTGTCTACACAGCCTGCACAACCCACGTCTAGGGGAGTCACTGCCCTGTGTGATTGTGGCAGCAGTCAGCACGCAAGCCCTCTGGAGATGGAAGGCTCTTGAGGGACAGGAACGCCTGGCCTAAGCCTTCACCACCCAGTGAGTCCCAGGTGGGGGATATCTCACCTCAGTATCCGTGGAAGCTCAGGGCTCTTGTAGATGTACTTGTGCCTGTAGCCAAGGTCTGAGTGAAAGGGGATAAACTGAACTTTGAAGTCTCGGAAGCTTCGAGATGGAGCAGCGATGTTGTAGAGCTGGCACAGGGGAGACATGACGGGTCAGCACCCACAGGCACCTGGTGGTCCCCCTGCAGGCAGGGAGGCCGCTGCCCCGGGAGGAGAACCGGAGCACCCCACCAACAATGCTGCTACCCTGCAGCCAGCCTGGCCAGGGCTGCTGATGAGCACCCAGCCCCCAGCCCCCAGCTAGGGACCCCATCCTCACACCTCTCTCCCAGGTGGCCCTTCCTCAGGGGCGGCCGGCCGTGAGGGGCGCGCTGGCCTGACGGCTCACCCCGGGGCCGGGCTGAGGCCCAAGCAGTGCTGCTGGGCGGCCTGTGCCGGCTACAGGGGGCTTTAGGGGAGGACACCTGCACGCTGGCACCCCCGGCCCTCCACACTCGCCCCCCGGCCCCAGCATCGCCACGCCAGGCAGAACGTCCCCCACGACACTCACCGACACATCTAACGCTGTCTCCCGGCAGCAAAGGCAAAACAAACTCAGCAAAAGCAAACACGGAGGCCTCACAACACTTCGGTCCCCGAAGCAGTCCAACCCCCAAGGTTGTGTATCAAGTGTACTGACTGCGACCCCGCGCTGTGGCCGGGCATCCTCTCCCCTGAGAGTTCTCTCCCTCTGGCCAACCACTGTGAGCCCTCCTGGCTAAGCAGCTAGTGGTCAGGCTCCGTCAGGCCAGGACCCCCCCTACTCACCCTCTCATCTCCTTTTGCCATCACCGAACATACTGGTCAAGAAGCCCACACCCTCTGACTGCTCTGTGCTCACAAGGTGTCACCCGTCGGCCGCCACCCAAGTCTCCTTCAAAAGGGGCACCTGCCAGCAGCAGAACCCCTACACATGCACGTATGCCCGGCCTGGCCTCAACGGGAAGCTGCAAGCCACCCGCCCGCACCAGGGGCAGCACCTGACACCCACCTTTCTGCCAAGCTGGAAGGGCACGACCGGGTCATCCTCCGCGTGCAGGATAAGCAGGGAGCAGGAGATGTGCTTCACACTGCGGGAGGACATGGGGCTAGACCACAAGCCCAGGAGAGGACTGGGCCTCAGGCCTGCCTATGGCAGGCACCTGACTTCAGTGCGGGCTTCGCCATGGTGCTCACGGCTAGAATCCCACTGGCTTTCCGTAGAGAACTAAAAGTTGATTTAGTTTTTTTAAAGATTTTATTTATTCATGAGAGACACAGAGAGAGGGGCAGAGACAGAGGCTGAGGGAGAAGCAGGCTCCATGCAGGGACCCAGGATCACGGGACCCCTGGATCACGGGACCCCAGGATCACACCCTGGGCCCAAGGCAGATGCTCAAACGCTGAGCCACCCAGGCATCCCTAAAAGTTGATTTCTTAGATGTTAGTAGCACCATCTATTCAGTCAAGTCTAGAGATCAATTCATTCACCAAATTTGCCCCCTGTGTATTTTCTGGAAATTAAAATGATTATTTCTGCCACTAAATATATTCTTTGAAATTTACAAAACAATATAATTTAGATGGGCTAAGAAATTTATTGCAAATGAATGTTTACTAAAAAAGCCCACACCCTCTAACCTTTGTTAAAAATGACATTCAGGTCACCCTGTTTACAAATAAATTAATGTTTTCAACAGGTTCACAGATCCAAGCCCTCTAGCAAACCACAGACGGGCCTGGTTCTGGTGGTTCCAGACTGATCTGGGGGCTCCATGAAGACAGCACTGGGCAAGCCTGGCACCTGGCAGGACCTGGGCCAGGAGACTCGTCACCCCACAGACACCCGGCCTGTCTAGCACTCTGTGCTTCTGCTACTGGTGCACATACCCGCTCCCCCTGCCCTTTGCTTCCAGGGAGGGGCCTTTCTGCTGCGAGGGTCACACTTTGACAGTGGAATCTTTTTAGGATTTCCACTGTAAACAGTACATCCTAACCTTTACCCACCTCTAGAGAAGGCCAAGTTCACCCGATGTCGCCTGCTGTCACCTCAGAGCCGCCCATGGAGGGGCTTGTGACTCCCAGTGGGGGAAGCACGACCAGCCCCCCAACTCTCAGCCAGGAGCATGGCCAAGGGGCAGCTTCGGGGGGCCCAACACTCACTGTGGTGCTTGTGGTTGGAATCCAGGTTTTTTCAGATTATTCTTCTCTAAGTTCCAAAACAATATTTATAAATAAGCAGGTTTTGTGCCTATGTCTACTCAAATTTTAGTTTTAGAACCAAAACACATAATTAAGGGGAAAAATATTCCATTTTTCACATTTACTTCAAAGTGTAAATTCTTAAATGTTAACTGAATATTTATTGTTTTTTAAGATTTATTTATTTTAGAAAGCGAATGGGGAGGGGCAGAGGGAGAGAATCTCAAGCAGATCCCAGCTGAGCGCAGAGCCTGACATGGGGCTAAATCCCCCAACCTTGAGATCAGGGCCTGAGCCGAAACCAAGAGCCGGATGCCTAACTGACTTGAGACACTCAGGCACCCCAAGAGAAATATTTTAATAGTGAACTTTGTAACATCTTTCTATACCAAACATATGTCAAAAGGCTGAGGCAGCATCCTTCTTTGAGTGACAGTTCCTGTTACTGCTCTAGAACCTGTGGGGAGCTCTGGTTCTGAGGGACTATTGTCAAATAAAACCGCCATACAGACATGCTGTCTCCCTGTTGCTTTACCACCACTACAGTCTTTTCAAATCCCTTCTCTCCCATTTGCAGCTCACAGCCTGATGTGCCCCCTACAAAGGCTGGATGGTTAGAGGAGAGCCCCAGTATTCAGAATCTGGTGAGGGTGACTGGTCCTGGGGGTTCTTAGTGTTTTTTTAAATTGAAAAATGAGATATTGTACTGCAGTACTTACTTTTCATCATTAGCAAATTTAATTCCGCTGCTTGTAATGGGGTCAAGGAAGAACCAGTCAAACCCAGGGAAGTATCGATATATCTGAAGGCGACATGGAAACAAGAGAGGCAGAGGCACCGGTTACAACAGCCACAGAGAAGGCTGGGCTCAAGGGTTTAGACAGGCTGACGAGTGCCCAAAGGTCTCCCCTGCTTCCAAGTGGACTGAGCTGAGGCCACACCACCCCTGCCATTGGACCACAGCCTCCCTGCTTGAGAGGCTCCTGGACTGGCCTGGCATGGCTGTCCCCAAAACAGGCTCCCATGCCACAGGGCAGCAGCTGGGCAGAACTGGCTCTGAGACAATGCTTCCCACAGACACTAGGGCCTCCAGCCCTGGGAAAACGAGTCCATGTGACTTGGGAGTAAAGCAGCATCAGAGGAGACTATACAGGACTCCTCTGGTCACCAGGACACAAGGCCTACAAGACACAGCAGGACACAGAGAAGACTCTCTGGGCCAGGCTTGGAAAGGGAGGGTCCAGGGCCTCAGTCTCAGCATGGAAGGAGGGCCTGATTCACCTGGAACCCCCACCAGCGTTCGCCCTAGATGTTAGCTGGAGCCACACCTGGGAGAGCCTGGCTGCCGAGCACCATCCATGTGTGCAGGGAGCAGGGCACCCACCAGCTCCAGGTCTGAGGAGGCAGCCACTGGCCTGGGCGGAGCTCTGGGGTCAATGAACCCTGGTGGGGGTTCCAGGGAGGCAAACCACACCAGAGGCAAGGCCTCCCAGGGGCCTGTTGTCCTTGGACAGTCCAACTGTGAACCTGTGCTTGTGCCTGGCCACAGAGTTTTAAAATTCCAGGCAGCTCCATTTCAGGCCAGTGCCCTGAACTAAACAAGGATTACATTTTAACACAATCTGCATTTCTCCAAATATTTAAATGATATTTCCTATGATTTTTATTATTTATTAATATTATTTATTCATGAAAGACAGAGAGAAACAGAGACACAGGAAGAGGGAGAAGCAGGCTCCCTGCAGGGAGCCTGATGCAGTACTCGATCCCAGGACCCAGGATCACGACCTGAGCCAAAGTTAGACGCTCAACTGCTGAGCCACCCAGGCGTCCCCCTATGATTTTTATTTTATACTTGCTTTCTTAAGAGTTACCCTTATAGTAATCATTTTAATAATAAAAAGTCAATTTTTAATAAGATCTGTACTTACCACTGAGAATGGATGACTCTTAGCTTCCTCACGGATATTAGTGAATGGAGATTCCAATATAAGGGCATCTGGAGGTGTCTCTAGATAAATACAACAAACAGGGAGCTATGAGGTGGGCAAGGCACCGCCACAGAGGCCCATGGGAGACACTGGTCCCCCAGACTTTGCCCCATTGGCCCCCCCGCACCGTTGGTGTGTGAAGAGTGCTCCCAGGGGACTCTTGGATGGCTGTGATTTGCTCCCTAGAGCCACACCTACTGACACTGTGTATCGGGAGCTCAGCCCTAAAGAGGCTCTGCCAGGTGCTCTAGAATCCAGAGGGAATGTGGGCGTGGGTCAGTTGAGGCCTTACCCAGACCCTGGTCTCAATGCCTGCCCCTGGGGCTCCGACACGACACCAAGCATGGCTGCGTGCTGCTCGTCCACCAGCATCCAATTCCCAAGCGGAGCCCACACCCACGCAACCAGGACTCACATGTCCACACAAGCCCTTACCTCGCTCACAGAGGCGCCGCACCAGATTTGTCGCCACCCTGAGAAGGGAAAAAGAAACAGTTCAGGTGAATGACGACGGAAGCTGTGAGATGAAACCAATCTGGTCTTCAAAGTGAACAAGAAGCTGTTGGACCTGTGGGGCGGTTGGTGGGGCGTGGGGGAGGGTGTGGACACAGATGCCCTAGGACGTGGGTGGGCCCTACCGCCCCTGCCATCAGCCGCCCCCCTCAGCCAAGGATGGTGCTGACACCCCCGGACCTCCCGCCACCCCAGGACTGCACTGGGAGGGTCCCGTGCAGACCGCACAGCAGGACGGCCTGCTCCTGCTCTGCCCGGGCTCCTGTGGCAGGCTCCACTCACTCTCCCCGGCACCACCCAGCCCGCAGCCCCCGCCCCGACTGCCGGGTGCTGTCCGAGGTAAGCAGCAAGGGGAGGCAGCAGCTAGGGTCACTGCCCCCAAGGAAGCCCCGCTGGAAACAGGATGGGTGCCAAAGGTCTCAGGACTCTGGGCAATGACAGCCCCACTCCTTTTACAGATGCCTCTGGACCTTCCATCAGCAGAGGCAATTCAGGCAGCCCCAAATGCAACATTAAACTGTTTTCCCATCTTGGCAGATGTAGGAAGGGAACCACCCGCTGCTTCTCCCCCAGGTTCTTTCTTGGGTGAGCCAAGCACAGGCTAAGTGGCCAAGGCTGTTTACAAACGTGCCCAGTTTGCAAGTAATCAAGGCCCAGCACTTGGGCATCTAAGCCAGCACCCACCCTCCAGAGCCAGGAGATGCAAAGTCTTTGTGCATCCAGGACCCGAGCCCCATCTCACGTTGCTCTAAAGACATCTCTCTGGGTGCACCCTTGGAATGGAGGCAAGTGCGCCTGTCTCCCGGCAGAGGGCGATGACCTACCCACCACTGCCTGGGTGTGTCTCAGATCATTTCTTGGGTTGAGGGGTTAAAGTAGCTCCAACTCTTTATGGGTTTTGTGGTGCTTCATCCCCTACCCTCACCAGGGGAATAAGGGCTGAGGCATGTTGGGACCCATGGTGTCATGGATCCAGAAGCCACAGGGCACTCTTGGAGAGACTGGGTAGAAAGTGGCCCCATGAAGACCTGCTCCCCCAAGGCTCCACCATGATGTGAACTCACCCAGTGCCTAGGGAATGACCCCAAATATACACAGGGTTGTCTCCACTCCGGGCTTTGATCCAGTCAAAAACATGGAGTGCATCATAGGTCATGCCTCGCTCTGATGGGGTTCCTACTGAGTCACCCCAACCTGGCAGGGGAGAAACAGCAAGAGGAGGAAGTCAAATCCAGCCTGTGGAACCTCCAGAAGAGCAGACTCAACCCTTCTTTCTCAACACGCAGCCCGGGCCTGTCGGGGACAAAGGAAGTCTCTGCCACCATCATCCACAACCCCATGCAAGGGGTATCTGGGCAAGCCCCCTCCTACTTCTCCCATATCCTCACCCCATTACAATTCCTGAACCCAGCCACCCACACACCCTTGTCCAAAGTCCCGATGAACAACTGACAGGACAGACAGACCCACAGATTCCTGCGGGCAGATGGCTCACTGGTGGGTGGCCAGCGTGACGGGCCAGTGAGAACCCACCCTGTCCAGGGGCCTCTGCAGGACAGGGAGGGGAGCCCACGACCAGCTCAGCCCAGCTGAGGACAGATGTGGGGAGTCAGGCTGGAGGCAGGGGCAGGATTCCAGGCTCAGGACAACTCTGACCCAGAAAGGGAAGGGGGTCCTAGAAGAGTAGAGGAAAGCTAACCATCTCTGCTCCTAGACCACATGTTCCCCCAGAGCCCTGCCCCAGGCTCTTGGAAAGGACAAATGCCACTGTCGTTTCTAGCAAGTCAGCAGTGAGTCATCATCAAGTGATCTGAAAGCCCAAGGCTCAGAAAGAGCCAGTTCTGCTGCATAAGCACACCCACAGTTAGTGAGCACAATGAGCTGCTTCCCCTGGGCACTCTGGATGCCAGATTAGGGGAGAGACGAGGCCTGATGAAAGGCCCAGGTGTGGACACAAGGAGGGACACAGGGACACAGACATCCAGAGCCCCCAGGAGAACTGGAGTAAGGAGGTGCTACAGAGGGGCACAAGACAGTGACACAGCTGCCTCTCTCTCACCGTGAGGTCTCTAGCCCCCCACAAGAGCAGAACACCCTGTAGCACGGAGAAAAGAGTAAGTGGGCTACTTTCTAGATGCTTATGTGCAGTTTTTCCCAACCCAGAACTTTCGAACGCTTTTCCATGAAAGAACCTTCCGTGCCACAGGCAGAGTAAGGCCCCCAGAGGTCCCATCCACATGTCTGGAGCTGGGGACTGTGTGAGATTATGTGGTTGGGGGAGGGGGAGGATGCAGAAGGGATTCAGGCCGCTGATCAGCGGATCTGAGATGGGCAGCAACGGCTCTCAGGCGCCGGCACAGTAGTCATATTGTGAGTAATCATAATGTCTACACAATGTGTGGCAGAGACAAAAGCCAGGGTCGGGGAGCCCAGGCCCAAGGACAGCTCTGAGAAGCTGGACAAGGTAAGGGACCTCCTGAAGGGACTGGCCCTGCCAGCACTTGGACATTAGCCCAGCGGCTGAAGATTCTGGACTTTTGGACCTCCAGAACTGCAAGATGAATCTGTGGAATCTGTGCCCTTTTAAGACGGCACGTTTGTGGTAATTTGTTACAGTGGTAAGAAGGAACTAATAACACAATGCCCACGCTCACTGCCTGAAAGCGTGGACACCACCACCCTCGCTAGCAGGTCGAACCAAGCCACTGAGACTCCAGGAGGCTGCTCACAGCCTACAGGAGATGGTCTGTCGTCTCTTCAGCACCAAGCCCTCTAACTCATTCAAGAAAGAAAAATCACTCGGCCAAGGAAGAATCTTCCTTCTCTCTCAATAGTTCTTTTTCCCGCTTTTAGAACTTCAACAAAACCAGCTCCCCTGCCCATAAGTCATGTCTGATGACCAGCTTTGGAGGAGTCAAAGTCCAGGAAAGAAAACCCAGCCTTTTCTGCACATAAAACGTGGCCAATAGAGACACGTGCAAGGGCTCCAGGCACCAAGGCCTCCCCTACAGGAGGGGTGCCCCTGGCGGCATGCAGGACACACACAGGGGCCCGTGTTCCCCCACGACCCCCATACTCGCCATCACTGCAGGGCAGGGCACCGCCCACTGCCAGCACCACCTCGGTCTCCCAGGGGACACCCCCTCAGCGGAGCCTGCCGTGGGGGGCGGGCTCAGACTCGTCCCTGCATTAAGACTCACCTCTGTAGTCAAAGGTGACCACGTGGTAACCAAGGGAACTCAGCACCTGTAGAGTGAAAAATAAATACCTGGGCAACAAATCCACACGTCCGAGATGGAGGGCCACTGGCCTCTGATGACCCCAGCTTGACCTTGGTCTCCATGCCCCGCACACTGTGCCAGCTGAAGAAAGTCTGCCCCCAGGCTGCCCCATCCTGTAACCGCACGTCCGCTGCTGCTGCAGGGCACACGGACGCCCTCCGCCCCGGCGGGACACGGAAAGATGGCTCTCTGCAGCTCAGACCAACAGTGCACCCCCGTGCCCTCATGGGCTCATGGGCAGCCGCCTTCCAGGAGAGACACCCAGAGACCAGGGACCCAGAAGGAGGGCTCTACAGTCAGGGTGCAACCCAGCATCTCAGACATTAAGTTTTGTTTTTTTTTTTTTCCAGACATTAAGCTTTTGTCAAATCTTTCTTTATAAAAACAAAATCCCTCTAAGACCACATGATCTCCTGGGTTAGGTGATAGAGTCCCTGCCTGAGCTCTCCTGGGGTGTGTCCAAGGCCAGGTGAAACTGGGCAGCCACCAGCACCCCCAGAATCACCTCAGGGAGGTGGTGTGCCTCCTCCAGGACCTCAGCAGGGACCACAGCTCTGCAAGCACACGCCCGCCCCGCCATGAGCCAATTCTGCCGGGGAACAAACCCTCTACAGCCCACAGCAACCCTCACCCTTGGTGCAGGAGGGACAGAGGACAAGACGCAGGTGCTTCCTGGCATTCTGTCCCTCTCTGTTGGCTTAGCCACTGCAGGCGTCCCTTCTGTGAGGGAGGATGAGGAAGATGGCCCTGGGGCCCCAGTACCTTTCCAGCTCTGACACTCGAGCTTCCAAAAATGATCACCAAGCAGCAGCGAGAGTCTGAGCGCTGGGAGACCCGCGGCCCCTCCGTGGTGGGCCTGAACCCAGGCTCCAGGGAGGGACCTGGCCGAGCGGAGCTCCAACCTGCAGCGAGCTGCAGGACGGCGGCTCCCTGGCCCTCGGTGCTCTCCAGTCGTGCCAGAGGAGAAACGCAGCACGTAACAATTTCATTGCCAATATCTGCTATATGATCCCCAATGTCCCTCATTCTGCTCTGGAAGCTTTCCCTGGAGCAGCATGACAGGGAAGCACTCCATGGCAGAAGCGGCCACGAGGCATTGCCATCAACCCTCTCACAAGGGCTGAGGGACCCCCTGCGGTTCACGCCTCCTGCAAGGGCGGCGGGGAAATAACACTGTGGTGACTTGCTTTCCTTCCTATACCACATGCACACCGCGGGCCTGCCACACACACTGTGCACGCGGCTCTGCCCTTCCTATGCCCTGCGACCACGAATTTGCCCGCCAAGCACCCTGCAAACGCTGCTCGGTCCTACACTATGTGGATACCACTGCCCAACATCACCCCACACTCTCTGCCCTCCTGGCAGCATCAGCCCTCCCAGCATCACCCACCCCACCCCTCCAGGCATGACCCCGCGCGCCCCACCCTCCTGGCATCAGCCCTCCCACCCCACCCTCCTGGCATCACACTGTGCACACCACTCTGCTTGTCCTATACTGTGTGGACACTGCTCTGCCCCCCCCCCACAGCCTGTGGACACCACTCTGTCCATCATACACTGTGTGCTGTCTTCACCTACCTTATAAAGCTCCACCCGATGGTCACCTCCTCTAGAGCGTCAAGGAAAAGGAAACAAGAATGGGTGTTAGCACATCTTCTCAAAAAGGCAGGCCCCAGGTCAGCACTGGAGTGTCTGGGTCCTTAGTGACTTGGTCCCCAAATCCATACAGGGAGGGTCAATGGTGGTCAGGTGACCTCCTCTGCAGGGCGTCATCGTGGCTCTATGCTTGTTTCTGGCAATACTGAGATAAGCAAGGGATAGTCTTAGCACTTTGGGGATATTTCTTAATTATTACCTTCTCCTATTTTTGACCAGGTGATACACAGGTACAATAGAAAACCCAGAAGATGGGATCCCTGGGTGGCGCAGCAGTTTGGCGCCTGCCTTTGGCCCGGGGCGCGATCCTGGAGACCCGGGATCGAATCCCACGTCAGGCTCCCGGTGCATGGAGCCTTCTTCTCCCTCTGCCTGTGTCTCTGCCTCTCTCTCTCTCTCTCTGTATGACTATCGTAAATAAATAAAAAAATTTAAAAAAGAAAAAAAAGAAAACCCAGAAGACACAGCAAGAAACACTCCTGCCCAGCATGCAGCCCCCCAGCTCCCCAGTGACCAGCATGTAGGCAGAAGTGAAAGTGCTTCTTTACTCAACACACACTCACAGGGACCTGCCACAGCCAATTCCAGTACTCTTTTTTTTTTTTAATTTTTATTTATTTATGATAGTCACAGAGAGAGAGAGAGGGGGGCAGAGACACAGGCAGAGGAAGAAGCAGGCTCCATGGACCGGGAGCCCGACGTGGGATTCGATCCCGGATCTCCAAGATCGCACCCTGGGCCAAAGGCAGGCGCCAAACCGCTGCACTACCCAGGGATCCCTCCAGTACTCTTTTTAGCAGTGGTTCACTTTCCTTTTTTTTTTTTTTTTTTTTTTTTTTTTTTACGATAGTCATACAGAGAGAGAGAGAGGCAGAGACACAGGTAGAGGGAGAAGCAGGCTCCATGCACCGGGAGCCCGACATGGGATTCGATCCCGGGTCTCCAGGATCGCGCCCTGGGCCAAAGGCAGGCGCCAAACCGCTGCGCCACCCAGGGATCCCAGTGGTTCACTTTCCTTCTCTTGCAGTCAATCTGGTTCTTTCCTGCCTGCTGTGAACCTGAGTTTTGCTGCCACGGCCATACCCTTCTGCATATGTGCACTCCACGTGTGGGATGCGTTCCTACACATAGAACTGCTGGGTGGAAGGTGTGTGTGATTGTAAGCTTGACAACTGCTGCCCAGGCATCTTCAGAGGGGTCCTGGCCCATCTCCCAGCTTCACACCCACAGATTAAGACTATGGTGGGCACTTGTCACAGACCTAAACAGGCTTCTATGGGTCCCAACTGTTTTGTGTCTCTACTTCTTTGTCCAAGGACTATCTATCCCTTCTCACACTTTGTCTAGTTGTTGGGCAGCCATTACTGTGGATGGACAGCAAAGTGGGGACGAGATCACCTCAGGCAGGAAAGCCTGTCAGCAGGCGAGCTCACCCTCTCCAGACTTCTCAGTTTTCCTTCTCTAGAGTGAGCACCACGGCCACTGCGGGTGTCGGCAGGGGCAGACAAGGAGTGTCCAGAGAGAGACAGGAATGAGACAAAGGAGGAAAAGCAATGCATTGTGCCACAGAAATACAAGGGAATGAGTTTCAGGACCAGAAGGAAATACTACAAAATGTTTCCGGTGATCTTTGGAAAAATTCCTGCTGGCTCTCGTTGGGATTGTTCAAATTTCCTACGTCAAGCAAAAAGAAGAGAGTTTAGCACATGACTCAGTGCGCAGCAGTAGCCGACGACTGGCTCTAAGGGAGTCAGGGCCGCTGCAATCCTGCCAGGCCTGTGGTGGGGAGTGGGGTATGGGGGAAGGGGAAGTACTTCCAAAGTCACAGTGTTCCTTCAAACTGAAGTTTCAGCTGACTTGGTCTTTTTTACCATGTGACTGGTATTGCTTAACTGAATCTTATTCCCAGGAAACTAGAAAATTTGCTCATTTATAGAAAGATGCTACCAGAGCAGTTATAACCACTTGCTCTTTGAAAAGCAGAAGAGAAACCCACTGGGGCTTATCCCAGAAAGAGAAGAAAGCAAACTGCCAAGTGCTTGCATGATTCCACTGCCAAGCACTCTGCTCACCAGGCACACCATCCTCATGAGCCGCACTTCCCAGACTCCCCGCAGTGTGCAGCCTCCCTGCCCTGACACCACCATAATCTCCTTGTTGGTTCTGCCTATAAAATGACCCCACGCCGAACCTCCCACAGTGGCCAAGGCGCCACACTGACCCTTATCTGGGCCCTGCAGTGGCCCTGTCTCCTGCCAGCTCCCGCCAGCTCTCTCTCATGCATCCCTAAGGAAGCTGCAACAACGGTGACCCTCCTGGGGGTTTCCAGGCAATGCTCTGTTCAGAAAATGCACCTCCTCCCTCACCCATGCTGTGCTCCCACAGATTCTCCTGAACAAGGTCGACCATGTGGGTAGAAGCAGCCAATCCCCAGCTAACCTGAAGGACATGCCATTAAAACCACTCTTGAAAAGCATCTGGGATAAACCTGAGCAAGGGCATGGCCTGCCATAGACAGTGCGTGCCTCAGCAGCAGCCCAGCAGGACACACTGGCATTGCTGGCTTCCAGCTGAGAGAGAGAATTCACACCCATCACCAACCCAACAGCATGGCGGGGTGGCCAGTGTGGCTGGGCTTATCTGTGTGCACTCAGCTGGGATACCTCTGCTTTTAGCCGTCCCACCTTCAATGTCACCTGACTCCTCAGCACTCACTGGCTCTTGCCAGGAAGTGTGCCTCTTCCCCCAGAAGGGCATGCCTACCAGCATTAAATGCCAGACTGCCTCGCCCCTCAGATGGGATGACAAACCAGCCAGTGAACAGGAGACCACACTCCCCAGGGGCGCTGCGGCCCTCAACTATCACAACGACCCCTCACTCACCGGGAACCCTCATTCACTGTGTCATAGGCCCTCCCTTTACCCCCCCCCCAGAGATGTCAGGAAGAAGGGACCCCCTGACTCTGGCTGAGGATCTGGGTCACAATGACAGAGACACAGCCTCCTCCGCGCCACTCAGGTGCAGCGAGCCCAGATACGGGGCCTCTGGACAACGCTGCCCACATCTGCTTAACACGGGGTGGGGGGGGCGGTCCCGAGGAAAGTGCACCGGGCCCACCTGGCGGGCAGCTCTGCTGTGCTCTGAGCCTGGGGATATGGCTTCAGGGGAGTTTCACCCTGACCCCTTCCCCACCAAGCCCCTCTGCTTTTTCCTGTGTTCTTGGGATGCTTCACAGCCCCGCTGCCTGCACACTCCCTCACTGCAGTGGGTCAGCAGACCCAACCAGGCCAGCACTGCAGCGACCACACGCCACGTGGGGTCCTCTCCCTCACCTGGTGCCTGCATTCCCATGGAGGTACAGGATGATAGGGTGGCTGGAAGCCAAGGCATCCTCGTACCACATCTGGTCCTTTCCTTGGGCGTCCTTCCACCAGACAGCAGGGACAGTGTGCCTGGAAACAGAAGCAGCATGGAGTGGCATGATCAGATGAGGGTGACTGCTGATAGAAAGACACAGGATGAGAGTCACAACCAAGCAGAGAGCAGGACAGGTGGGCCGGGGAGGCAAACTGCCTCCATCACCAAACGAAAGAACTACAGAGCTCTCAAGCTCTAGAGCTGGCTGCTGACAGCCTAGGTAGATTTTCTGACTTGTACCCAGGCCCCTCTGGGCCACAGAAGCTCCCCTGGTAGCAGTTGGCCAGGGGTGGGGGTGGGGGTGGAGTTTCTCCCATATGAACTGGACACTCTGTAAGGTAAGATCTAACCTGGCTTGGTCACCAGGCCTTCACTCAGGCCTCCCACAAAATGAATGCTTAATAAATACTAGCTGAATAACACCATCCCCCCTCACACATACCCATATTTTTAAGCTATACACAATTTAATTCACAACATACTTAAGATAGTTCAGGCTGTCACAGATGCTAATTCAGCAACACTGATCTTTTTTTTTTTTTTTTTTTGTAATTTATGATAGTCACACAGAGAGAGAGAGAGGCAGAGAGAGAAGCAGGCTCCATGCACCGGGAGCCTGACGTGGGACTCGATCCCGGGTCTCCAGGATCGCGCCCTGGGCCAAAGGCAGGCGCTAAACCGCTGCGCCACCCAGGGATCCCTTTTTTTTTTTTTTTTTTTAAGCAACACTGATCTTTACAAGCTGGATCAGAAGCCTGGAAATCCTTAAGCACCATTTCTAATGTATAGCACATTGCGGAGCCTGCTCACCAGGCATCTGGGAGCAGACCTGTCTCTGTAGGAGGAGACACTACAGGCGAACATGCTGCATGAGTGACCTGGCAGTCAGCCTGGCTCATCCCACACCTGGCCGGGCAGGTGCACTCTGCCTCTCTAGCCAGAACTACCCCTCAGAGAGATGCTCCAGTGAATCTGAAGTCAGTCCACACCAAATACTGTTAATCCCTGGGGAGGGTCTGAATTAATGAGATTTTTCTATAAAACACATTCACATTTATTAGCAAGAATTCTTGCAAATATTAAATGGCCATTTTAAAATTTTCTAGCTCTTAAGTTTTGGCATTTCACTTTTTTTGGGCAGTGGGTGGGGCAGAGAGAAGAATCTTAAGCGGACTCCACACCCAGTACAGAGCATGATGTGGGGCTCGATCTCACAACCCTGAGATCACTATCTGAGCTGAAACCAAGAGTCAGATGCTTATCAACTGAACCACCAGGTGGCCTTGGCGTTTAACTTCTAATGTTTCTTTGACCATTTCTAGAGGATCGCATTTTGGGTGGTTCTGATCTTAATGATCACTTCTTCAGCAATTACAAACCCATGGGACCGAAAGGCACATTTTAAGGTCTGGAAGCTGATGCACTGCCAAGAGCCAACTGACCCTAAACCACGGCTCCTAACACAGGCCCCAAAAGCTCCAAGCCAGAGGAGAGGGACCTGTTCCCAGGGCTCTCCTGCCCCCTGCCAGGTGGAGAGTTTACGCCCCCAGAGAGGCAGCTGAAGACAAGACTGCTGCCCCAGGGCTTACACTGTCCTCACAACAGCAGAGGGTGCAGACTTGGGCAGGCAGCCAGGGCCCAGCAGCACACAGCCTGGTGTCAGTATGCTGAGTCTCCCCATTGTCGTCACTAAGTACAATCTTCTTAGGTGACTGCTGTGAGAGCTTTCAGCCTAAATATCCACAGCACACACACCCCTCTCAGAGTAGACCACCCTAAGCACTAGCCACGGAAGAGGTCCTCATCTTCACCAACAATCCCTGTCCCATCTCAAAGCACAGACCACACTAATCAGCGGGAAAGCCGACTAATTCCCAACCAACAAGTTCTGAGCAAAGCACATCACGCTTCTGACCGAAGACATGAGAGCAAAGTGTCCCAGGTACACACATTGGTCAGTAAATACAGGACTGAATTAAACCAGAAATAACAAAAGCCTAATCCCAGCATCAGCTCCTACAGCAGTAGGAGCATTTAATGTTCTCTACCCAGGACCACAGATGTGGCTACAACCCTTCACAGCCCACAGCACTTCGCCTTGAAGCATCTCCCATGCACAGCACTCTTCTGTGAGGGCAGAGGGAGACATCACAGCTACTGAGAGAAACCCTGCTAAAGGGGTAGGGATGCCAGGCTACCTCTGAGAGAATACAGAAAATGAAACAGAAAACTTGGTCATTTTAAATTTAGTAGCAAAAACATCCACTTGTCCGTAGGGAAAAGTAAGAAAACACATTCCAAGGGAACAGAAAGAAGTCATAGGACTTAAGTCCCACTTAAATTTGTGACTCGGGGGATCCCTGGGTGGTTCAGCAGTTTAGTGCTTGCCTTTGGCCCAGGATGTGACCCTGGGGTCCCGCGATTGAGTTCCACATCAGGCTCCCTGCATGGAGCCACCTTCTCCCTCTGCCTGTGTCTCTACCTTTCTCTCTCTCTCTCTCTTTCTCTCCATCTCTCTCTCTCTCTCATAAATAAATAAATAAATCTTAAAAAAAAAAAGAAAGCAGCTTATTTAAAAAAATAAAAAATAAAAAAATAAATTTGTGACTCAAAAGAGTCAATACAAGAGGGAAAAGCCACATTATCAGTGGCTGGAAGCGCTGCATGTAAAGACACTCAGCTGTTCTCAAGGTCCAGACATTTCCCTTGTCTGAGGAGACAGGGGCTCCCGTGCTCACATTTCTTCCTTCTCCCTGGAAGTAAGGCTCTTGCCCACAGACAACCCGGTTCACACAGCCTTCGCTGTCTCAAAGCCTCGGAAGAGCTAGTGCCGTCTCATCGTGCTCCATTATGATCAAACTTAGCCAAGATCTCTGCTTTGGAAACGGAGGGGGAGGGTAAAAACGGATGGGCAATCGTCCTGGGCAATCCCGGCCATGCTGCCGCCCACTCACCAGACTCCAATGGTCACATCTTCCTCTGGCTGGAGGTAGTAATTACACGTGTGATTCAAACCTTGATCCTGTGGTTTTTTCAAGTCAATGAAATAGGGAACCCTCACTGTGGAGGACAAAGAGATGGAAACCAAGATTAGTGGGGGCAGACGGACACACATGTACATGCACAGCAGATGCCAAGCTCTCAGGAAGTGCTGAGTCCTTTCCAACCCAAGGCATCCCAGTCCACACAGCCCTCTGGCCTCAGGTGCAGGGCTGGCAAGCAAGCACAGGAACACTGTGAGCACGCCGGCACATCCCTTAGCAAGGGCGAGGTCTGAGCACAGATGGACCCCCTGATGGTTGCGGTTGTGTGTGTTTTTTTTTTTTTGTTTTTGTTTTTGAGAGAGAGTGTGAGACAGAGAGAGTGAACATGTGAGGAGGGAAAGGGACAGGAGAGAAAGAGAATCTGAAGCAGGTTCCACACACAGTATGGAGCCTGACAGAGGACTCGATCTCATGACCCTGAGACCATGACCTGAGTTGAAATCAAGAGTCGGATGCTTAACCAAGTGAACCAGGCACCCCAAAGATTGAAAAACTTAAAAAAAAAAAAAAAGTTGAGGTGAGATTTACTCACTTTATAAAATGGCGACTCCCAAAAGGGCAGGATGGTCCTGACCTCTAGCCAATCCCACCTTACATAAGGGAGTCACACACATCAGCACAGTTTTCTCTGGCAAAGAAAGTAGTTTCATTACGTAACTGCACATATCCACGTGGCACAAAAGCCAAACGTGCTCATCTCCTACTGCCGTCCCATTCCTGAGCCACAAGCATTGACCTCCCACCTCAGGGCCTTTTTCACTTACTGTCCTCTGCATCTGAGTACCCTCCCGCCACATTTAGCTCTCATTCCTCAAATGCCCACTGTAGCTCGCTACACATCTGCTGAAGAAATGAAATACCCACTCATGAGGACATGGGGATGCACACATGCTCATTCCCCAGAAATTCCCTGAGCATTTCAGACCATGCAAGGAAAGAAATCCTTCCACGAGGGTGGTTTTTGTACCTCCAGCTTCTTAACCCACCTCTTCCCCAAGAAGACTACATTTTTTAAACTTTATTACTTTCTCCAAAAAGAAAAAGGGCCATGAAAGGAAGCGGCACCACATGTCCTGGTGCTTCCCACCATTCCTGAGCTGTGCGTGTGTGCCCTCTTGCAGCACCTCCTGTGACAAACACACCACCTCTTCCACTCTATAGCTCCGTTAGCCACCAGCTCACACATCACAGGCCTGGGACTTACATGTAGGCGGCCTGACTCCACAGCCCACACTCCTGACCCATCACACAGGAAGGAAGGTAATGGTAAATGATACTGACTGGCCCTCATGTCCTTCTTAGGACGTTGATGTGTGCCCTCCCCAACCCCAGGATACACTGCAGTCCCAACCCCCAGCCCATCAGAATGTGGTCTTACTTGGAAATAGGGTCTTTACACAGATAATCAAGCTAAAATGAGGTCAGAAGGTGGACTCCAATCCAGTATAGGTGGTGTCCCTATTGACAGGGGAAATTGGGATACAGACAAGGACAGACGAGGACAGTGTCAAGACAGCAGGAGAGGGCTGTGTGCGGACAGAGGCAGAGGCTGGAGGGGTGCAGCTAGAAGCTGAGGGACACTGCACACTACTGGCCACCACCAGAGGCCAGGGGGAGGCAAGGAAAGACTATGCCCAGAGTCTCAGGGAGCCTGGCCCTGCTGATACCTTCATTTCAGCTTCCAGGCTCTAGACCTGGGAGACCAGAAATTGCTATTGTGTTAAGCCGTCTAGTTCGTGGTATTTGTTACAGCTGCCTCCAGGGACCAAAGCAGCCATGTATGGAGGTAAGATTTTACTCTAGCAACAGGACTCAGAGAAGCTCCTGAGCAGAGAGAAAGCTGGCAAGGGCCTCTGTTTCCCATGCTGTTTCAGATGCAGGTACCTCCTCCCACAGTGTCCATTCTGGGACACTGGGCCATGCTGTGGAAGCTGGTGGCTGCAGCCTCATGCATCTCATGTACCAGCTCATCATCTGACAACTGTGAATGAAAGGACGTCCTCCATACAACTCTGAAAACCCAAACCCGGCCCCAGATTCCCTTAATTCCACTCCTGAGACAGGAGTTATTCACCTCATGTCCCCATGCCAAACAGAAAGTGGGCGTCATCAAGGCTGAGGGCACTTGGCTTCCACCAGCTCAGTGCTCGGGCCTCAGCTTGTTCTGTGTTGGGGGAGAAGGTGGCCAAGCTACTTCCACACTAGCCCAGAGCCCCCAAGAGGACCCCCTACCTGTGAACGATGTTCACTGAGGATTAGCAGCTAATTCCCAAAGCTTCCAGGCCTGAGGAATTTAGAAACTGAGAAGCTGCCAGATTCTACTTCAGGAAGACCTCATTCCACAAGACTTGTCCTCCCATTCACTTTTATTTCCATTTTAGAAATAATTGTGAAAAAGAAGGCAGCGAATGTATCAAGTCCAGCAGACTTGGTAACAGAGGAACCTCTGGCCTCCAAGTGCCTCTCTTCTCATGGGGCCCCTCCAGAGAGTAGAGGTCCGTGGTCAGTCCTGGGGGGTCAACTCCAGAGACTTGTGGCCAGAGGAACCACTGGCAACCACTGGTCTAAGCAAGCAGAATGCCACAAAGGGATGGGGTCAAGGAGTGCAAGGGTAGGGTTAGATTATATGCCCAGGCCAGAACACACCTCACTCCTACTGGCTGGTAACAGCTGGGTACCAGGGCCCCCTGACCTCCTGTGCTATCCTTTGGCCAATGACCCTCGGGGCCCCACTTCATTCACAGCGTTGGAGCAGGGACACAGCACAGGGCAACCATAGGGCACATGGCAGGGGCAGGAGTGAGGAGTGTGGGACAGTGACCTGGCCCCTCACTGTTAGCTATGCAAGGTCGGCCTCACATGCAGCTAAGTGCACACAGCCTAGGAACCCAAAACACAGGCTGCTGTGCCTACAGGCCAGCAAGACCCATCCAGCTGCTTCAACCCCACTTCTGGCTTTTCTTCCTTCCCTTCTCCATTATCTACCCTCCAACCCACAAACTATGGGCATGATTTAGAAAGGATCTTGCACAAATGGTCTTCAGTCAATAATAGTGAGTCCATGAATAAATGGAAAACAACCCATTCTATCATCCCTTCTTTAGTCCATCTGCAAATGCACAATACGGTGAGAGGCTACAGCTACTTAGTCACAATGGACACTTCTGACCATCTGGGGATCTTACAAATTGGGGCACCCCCTCATCCCAGTCACAGGTGCACTGGAAGAGGGGTGGTGCCAACAAAAGGAGGGCCAGAGGGCTCTCTGGGTTTTATCAAACTCTAACACTGTGATGGGGGGCTGCCGGACTTCCATAAAAAGAAAAGGAATAAGAAAGAGTATGGAAGTTCCTCAAAAACTTAAAAATAGAAATATCATATGAACCAGTAATTCCACTACTGAGTATTTACCCAAAGAAAATAAAACACTAATTTGAAAGAATACATGTATCCCCAGCAGCCTTATTTATGATAGCCAAGATACAGAAAAAACCCATGGCTAGACAAATGGATAAGGACAACATGGTACACACACACACAACTATTACACAGCCTGAAAAAGGACAATCCTGCCATTTGTGACAACATGGAGTGAAGGAAGTCAGACAGAGATAGACAAATACCGTATGATTTCACTCATATGTAGAATCTAAAACAAAAACAGAAACAAATGAATAAACAAACAAAAAGCAGAATCAGACCTGATCTGTTTGTAAACACAGAGAACAAACTGATGGTTGCCACAGGTGGAGGCATGGGGGATGGGCAAGATAGAGGAAGGGGAGTGGGAGGCCCTAGCTTCCAGGTGTGGAGTGAGGAAGTGACGGGGATGGAAGGCATGGCGGAAGGAGTACAGTCAATGATATCATAATCATGTTTATGGTAACACATGGTGGCTACACTCATGGTGGAAAGAGAGAAAGCTATTAAGGGTTAAAGAGACTGCTAAAAGGAAAAAGAAAGAGGAAGCTTAAGGATTATTGTCCTGGAGAATGCTGAAGCAGGTTGGCTGGCCTCTGCTTTAAAAACAAATATATAATTCATAAATCTAAATTATTAAAAAAAAAAAAAAAGCCCAAGGAGTTTGGTGCAGGCCTCTGAACTGAAATATTCCTTCTCACTGAGAGATCCTTCTAGATCTGAGGGCAAAGAAGACCAGAGAAGATATCTAGACTTCATTACTCAGCCATAAAAAAGGATGGAATCTTGTCACCTGAGGCAATGTGGTTGGACCTAGAGGATATTATGCTAAGTGATGTAAGTCAGAGAAAGACAGATTTCACTTACATGTGGCATCTAAAAAACAAAATAAAGGAACAAGCAAACTGAAACAAAAAACTGAAACAGACCCATAAATACAGAGAACTGGTGGTTGCCAGGGTTGGGGCCGGGGGGAGATGGGCAAAACAGGGGAAGGAGACAAAGAGGTACAAAGTGCCAGTTAAATACACACATCATGGAGGTGAGATGTCAACACTACTGTGGTAAGTAAGCCTGTTGCTGACAGAGGGTGACTCCACTTACTGTGACAGGTGCTGAGTACTGTACACAATTGTTGAACCTCTGTGCCACACCCTTGAAACGAGCATCATACCATATGCCATCTATATTTCAATTCAGCAACAAGAAAAAGTCATGTAGACTTCGAGACCACAGAATACTGGGCATCAACCGCCACCACTGACATGGAATCAGACTTTTGAATCTGAGTAGTGAAAAGCATATATGCTCATGTTTATGTGCAGAGACTCAGACAAAAGAGACCAGCAGGAAATAGATAAGCAACAACATTAACAATTTTCTCAGAATTTAATTTTCTTCTTCACTGCCATTCAGGGCTTTTCAGTTAATCTTCTGTGTTTGGAATGCACATGCAGTTCTTGCTTATGAAAATATATTTAAAGTAGAATAATACCTTAAATCATAGGTGCTATGCTTTTTCTAAAGCTTATTTATCTGATTCATGAATGTGATTTCAGATAGATTTGATGTGAACTTAAGAATATTCTCTAATTATGTCCTGAGGCCCAAAAGACCATTTGGACTTCCTTTAGAGTCCAAATGGAAATCCACAGGATTGTGATTCCCATTTTGAAGAGAGAAAAATGGAGGTGCTATCCCCAACACACTGGCCCTCCAGCACCATGGCGTGAACGGCCAACCACTGCAGGGTAGCCCTGGAGACCCTCATCCCCCATAGGGGAGGCAGCACAGACTGCTAACAAAACGATCTCTAAAACTGGGTAGTAGGTGACCCCGCTGCCACACAGCAGACACATGTGAGGAAAGGATAAGCGGCCGGCATCTTCTTATGGAGGTGCAGCGCACTGGACTAGGAGAACCCAAAGCTCTGCTCCTGTGCAACATCCTGCCATTTCATTAAGAAACCAACCAGCAACATTTGTGGGCTGTGTCTGAAGTACTCCAAATAATGGATTAGAAGAAGACCAATTCCATTCCAATATTTGTTGGGACCCCACCATGTGGCAAAGGCACCCAGAAGCCAGCACACTTGGAAAAGGCAGTCAGGGTCCATCCTGAGGTCTGCCATCAGGCTGTCTGCAGCCCCATAGCTTCATGTTTAATGTAAACCCAAACTCCCTTCTGTGCTAGACTGTGGACCTGTGGACATTTAAGGGTTAAAGTCAGAAAAATCAAAACTCCCTTGATTTTAGTTATGTTGTTGGTTCATTTTAAGTTTGTGCTTCTCACACTGGCCAAAACTCAAGTAGATAAATTCCTCCAGGTTCAGAGTATGTTTCCGTTAGCAAAATCAAATGCCTCTTGGTATCCTACAAGTATTTTACACTCGAAACACCAAATAAAAACAGTTCAGATTTACAAAGTATTAAACACGGACTTTACTATTTTTCCTCCTCCTCCTAGTCCTCTTTGAGCAGAAAGTCGCTTTTTAGCAAGTGACTCCTAAGTTCCTGTGATCAAGCTCACTGTAGATTTAGCAAGCCTAACTCATCTGTACGCCCAGGTAGTCATCCTGCCGGCCCCAGTGCCACCCCTATCGCCCTGCTTGTCCCAGGCCACAGTCACACACGGGCCATCTCAACACCTGTCTGTCCTCCCTGCTCACTTCCATGCTCTTCCCTCTCCCTCCTCTCTATTGGCAACCCTGCTGCCTTCTAGGGAATCAAACCCAGCTTTCAAACCCCTCCTCCCAAATACACAAGGTTCAAACATACTCTTTGCAAACCAACAACTAAGAGCATGCACACAGCCCACCTCAACTGGTTCAGATGCTACCCACCCCCGAGCTGAAGGCCATCACTTATGAGTACCTGCTCTGTGTACCAAGCACTATGCTCTATCCTCAAACTAATACTTGCACACCCAGCCTCTTCCATCCTAGCCTCATCTTGTAGGTGTAAAATGATGCTCCCAGCAATTATGTACCTGGGAGCCCTCTGTCTTCTATTTCCTAAGCTTGAGACTTCTGGACCTTTCTCTCCCACTTGCACAAAAGTAAATACACAGTGTGAAAAAAAAAACCACCTTTGGAACACACAAGGTCTAAGTTAACTCAGGGAGACTACAACACCTATAAAGCCAGCATATAATTCCACAGAAACCAAAGCATGTCAGGCTGATTCCCCGCCCCCTCTCCCCCCCTAAAAGGTCCTGGGCTACTTGGGTAGCTCAGGGTTAGGTGTCTGCCTTCAGCTCAGGTCACAATCCCGGGGTCCTGCGATGGAGCCCTGTGTCAGGGGTCTCTGCTCAGTGGGAGTCTGCTTCTCTCTCTCTCCCTCTGCCCCTCCCCCTGGCTCATGCTCTCTCTTGTGCTCTCTTTCTCAAATAAATAAATAAATAAATAAATAAATAAATAAATAAATAAATAAATAAATAAGGTCTTTAACAAAGAAAAAAAGAAAAAGAAAAAGTCCTAATTATTTTTTTAAGGTGATCACTTTTCAGTGGTCATCTTTTCCAAGGACAGTGAGCCTCCTAGATGGCACAAGGGCAGACCACCTGCAACACAACCCTCTTAACATCCTTACCCACAGCAGCTGAAGGACCCCAGCCGTGCAGGAGTTACCTGTGCACCCAAGGGTCAGCCCTGGAGAGCAGCACAGTCACTGCAGCAGCCTGGACCTGAGAAGGGGCACAGGGAACTTTCTGGGCAATAGAAATGTTCTATTTCTTGATCTGGGTGGTAGATATATAAATACATAAATCATCATGCAAATGAACTCTTACTAAAGTTAAAGGCAAAGTGGGCACATGCACTTACCAAAATTCAAGAAAATCAGTTTGGCCTGTATCCCAGGACACAGTTTGATGAGAAATGGAATGGCAACATACAACCCCAGAACACAGAGAAGTATCTTCTTCATTCGGAACCACAGGCCCTTTCGCCTGCAAGAGAAGAGCAATTAACAGGTCAAAGACCGTAGTGCAATTTTGCTACCGTTTATTTTATTTTATTTTATTTTATTTATTTTATTTTTGCTACCGTTTATTAATAGCATTATCAAAATCACTAACCAAAATCCACATGCAGTGTTCCCATAATAATTGTGCCAGTAATATGACTCCCACCTGCTTTTGTTAAAATTATTATTTTAGACAATCTTTCCATTTGAGCTTAGAACTCTCTATTGTGGGGGTAGGGGAAGGGTACGTATTTTTCTCCCCAAAAGCCAAAGGACTGGACCATCTTGATGATTTTCTATGCCCACCCTGGGATCAGAACACAGCACAGACATTAGCTCCTCAGCAAGTGCCCAACCTGACGTCAGATACTAACCGAAGTTTCATCTCCAGAAAGCGGCCAGCCAGCCTTAGGCCGCGTGACCACTGTCCTTCCTGTAAGCCAGCCACAGGCGTAGGCTGCCCACTGCTCCTTGTAGGAAGCAGGAACATGAACAGAACCTGCCCAACCAGGTATGGGGAGGGAGCGAGGAGGGGCAATAAGACTGTGGCCTGTAGCTGACACTCCCTGTCCCTGTGTTCCAGCCCATGTTCCATAGGGCACCACGGGACGGAGGTCCCTTTCCCAGGCACTGTGGGCCAGGTCTCCAGACCCTCTCCTAAGCTCACCAGGCTCCAAGGCTTCCTCATCCTATTCCTGATGCCTTTTCAAAACTGTCCCAAATCCAGAGATTCTAAACTTCTTGGACTAAGGATTTCTCTACAACTAGAAAACTGAAGCCCCCAAAAAGCTTCTGTTTACATGACTTATATTTATTACTATTTGTCATGCAAGAAGTTAAAACAGAAATTTTAAAAATATTTATTCATGTATCTAATAACAAGAAAACCACTAAATGTTAATATAATTAACACCTGTTATTTAAAAAGTGATTATATTTTCCAATTCAAAAACTTTTCATGAGAGAATTTACAAATTTTTTTAAGCCAGCCGCTTAACAGAAGACAGATGGATTCTACATCTAATCTGTTGTGATACGACATGTTATGTAGCATCTGGAAAATTCTGAGAGAATGAGTGAAAAAGGCAAATACCTTTGGGTTATTATGAAAATCATTTCAACCTTTTGGACACTCTGGAAAGATCTTGAGGAGCACTCTTGGGAACCACTGCTCTAACTTGTGAACCACATCTAAACTTCAGTGGAGCCAAGTATTTATTTCTGGACTGCTTCCAAAATAACTATTTAAGGTGGTTTTAAATATAGATCTAGAACTGCTGACACATGCAATGATATAGATGCATCTCAAAAGCATTCTGATAAATAAGACACATACAAAAGACTACATATTGTAGGATCTTATTTACCTAAAATTCTAGAAGAGACAAAACTATAGGGACAGACAAAAAGAACAGTGGTGGCTAGGGGTTGGGGATGCAGGGAGATTACAAGGGGCACAGGAAACTTTTAGAGGAATCCAAATAATTTTATCTTCATAAAAATGTGTGGGTACACATTTGTGTTAAAATAATACCTTGACAAACATGCATAAGACAAACATGCATATCTGAGAGTATAATCCATTCACTCATTCGCCTGCTTTATTTGATGCTAGTCCTCTTTGGGCAGTAGATACTAGGGGAAGAAAAGGAAGGCATCTGCATGTATGCTATGTTCCCAGTTCAGTGGGGCAGACACAGAGCTCTGAGAGAGGCACCTGGTGTAGGGTGATCTGACCCAGTCTGGGCTGCCAAGGAAGAGGCCACTGGGAAGAAACACTAAGTTAGCAATACAGAAGTTAACTAGATGATGCGCAAGAAGAATTTGAAATGACATCTTAGGGGTGTGTGGGTGGCTGGTCTTCAGCTCAGGTCATGATCTCAGGATCCTGGGATGGAGTCTCACACTGGGCTCTCTACTCAGCAGGGAATATGTTTTTCCCTCTCCCTCTGTGCTCACACGTGTATGGACACACACTCTCATTCTCTCAAACAAACAAATAAATCTTTAAAAAAAATAAATGACATCTTAAATTCCATGCACAATCTGCCCTTTCAATGATGAAGAGTGTACAACATTGTGGGTAAAGGTGCTGGGTCTGAACTCAGATGAGCTAGATCAACATTTAACCTACCACTTACTAGCTGTGCAATCCTGGACAACTTACTTAACCTCTCTCAGCTGTGGTTTCCTCCCTGCACAAAGGGCATAAAAGTGGTACCTCCTTTGTGGGGATTACACATAGAGTGCACACATGAGTTCCACGTCCACAATATCTAAGCCGTCATCACCATCTTCTAATTCTCATTAAAGGAAAGAGCAGGGACTGGGCATAGTGAACAGACCTGAAAGGGAAGGTTGAGCACAACGTGATAAGTCCAAAGAGGCCAAGAAGAATTTAGGACGTCATTCTGGGAGAAAACAGAGAACCCATAAAAAAGAAAACAGCTTGCAATCAAATGCACAACCATCAACTGCCAGATGCACAGCTCATGCTTGGGTCCTCCACTCCAGCCACACTGGCCATTCCTATGTCCCTTGCATAATTTTGGTCACTCACCCTCCAGAGCCTGCATAAATGTGCAGTAACACATTTAGTATGGTGTCTAGGCAGCATGGAATTTTATGTCCTCAGAGAAAGGAAAACATAGGACCGACCATACAAAGACTTGATCAAAAACATTCACAGTGGTGTGAAGCCTGGGTGGCTCAGTGGGTTGGGCTCCTGACTCTTGGTTTTGGCTCACATTGTGACCTCAGGGGTCATAGAAATGAGGCCCATGTCGGGGCTCTGCACTCAGCATGGAATTTGCTTGGGGTTCTCTCTCTCCCTCTGCCCCTCCTCATACTCACTCTCTCTAAAATAAAATACCATAAAACAACCAAAAACATTCAAGAAGGTTTTATTCAAAATCGCATTGAGATAATGCAAATGTCTCTCAGCAGGTGAATGGATGAACAAATAATGGTTTGTCCTTAGAATGGAATACTACATGGCACGAGAAAGGAGCCAGCTACTGATATATGCAAACACATGGATGAACCTCAAAATAATTATGCTGAGTGAGGGGCACCTGTTTGGCTCAGTCAGAAGAATGACCCTTGATCGCAGAGTCATGAGTTTGAGCCCCACACTGGAGACAGATTACATAAAAAAATTAAATTAAAAAAACCCCAAAAACAAAAAACCTATGCTGAGTCAAAGAAGCCCAACAAGATGGCCAGGACACCAGCAGACCTGCTGTGATATATCATTTCACCTAAAAAGTATTCCTGTTCATCAGTAAAACCAGCATTGTCTTTTCTGTGCTGTTTCAGGGTGATGGTTCCTCCACAGACAGTGGCTTTTCATCTTCCTCATATTTCGAAATAGTTTATATAAGATGGAAACTGTTCCTTATAAAGTTAAAATAATCTATCAAGAGAAACAAGAGAGAAGAAGGATATAAACAATGTCAGGGAAAATATATAATTTTCTTCATTTCTTCTTAATTATACCTACTTCTTGGGACAATTTTGTTAATTTTCTCAGAAATTCCTTTAGTTGCAACTCTCACTATTGCTGGTAGTATTGCTACTTATGTAGTTACTCCTTGCTAGAAGCATTCACTGTTCTCGATCACTGATAAGAATGAACATATCCCACACAGCCGAGGAAAGCATCACCTCTAGGTGCTAAATAGCACCTGCATGCGACCTGGAGTAATCCTGGAGGCCCACCTTTCTCCACACTACACATATTCCCATGCATAGCAACAATTTTTGCCACAGGCTATACAATGATTCAGTGTGTTTGTCTGTAAAGGTTATTCATATTATTAGTACCATAAACAGATAATCTGAATCCCTTGTTAAGAAATAGGAACTGTAAAAATAAATGCAATGAATGGACTTAGGATGCAGCCCATCACTTGCATTCTTGGGCATTTATTCCAGTGAAATGAAGACTTATTTTAACACAGGAATTTGTACAGGAATGTCTACAGCAGCTCTACTCATAATAGCTCCACCTCAGTTGCTTCTCAAGAGGTGGATAAACAAACTGTTCCTATTGGCCATGGAGCACTAATCAGCAATAAAAATTATTGATTGTGCAACAACTTGGATGAACCTGGGAATTATGCTGAGTTTAAAAAGTCAATTAATCCCAAAAGGTCACATATTGTGTGAGTCCATTTATAAAAATGTTCTTGAATGATAAAGTGAGGGGCGCCTCGTGGCTCAGTTGGTTAAGCATGATCTCAGGGTCCTGGGATTGAGTCCCAAGTCGGGCTCCCTGCTCCTCTGCCTCTCCCCCTGCTTGTGTTCTCTCATGCAAATGAAGTAAAATATTTTTAAAAAGAAAAAAAGAAATGCCAAAGTGACAGATATGGAGATGAGATTAGTGGTGCCTGGGTTTAGGGATGGGAGGGCAAAGGTGTGGGTGGCAATAAAGTGGTGGCAGGAAGCCTGATTAGGGTGGTACATGTGGTACCTATATCCACATGCAAAACAATCTAGACACAGACTTACATCCTTCACAGAAATGAACTGATAATGGCTCACAGAGCTAAATGTAAAATGTGAAGCTATAAAATTCCTACAAGATGGCAGAAGAAAATGTAGGTAACTTTGGGTGGGGTGGTGACTTATTGGATACCACATCGAAGGTTCAATCCAGCAAAGAAACAATTGATAAGTTAGACTTTACTAAAATTAACAACTTCTGCTCTGTAAAAGACAGGATTAAGAGAATGAGAAGAGGGGATGCCTTTGGCTCAGAACCTTGTCATGATGTCATGATGTCATGATGTCAAGGTCCTGGAATCAAGCCTTGCATCAGGCTCCCTGCTCAAACAGGAGCCTGCTTCTCTCTCCCTGCCCCTCCCCTTCACTACTCATGCTCTCTATACAAATAAATAAAATCTCTTTTTGGGGGGATCCCTGGGTGGCTCAGCAGTTTGGTGCTGCCTTTGGTCTAGGGCGCGATCCTGGAGTCCCGGG